TCCTTATTTCCAGGTTGAATCTCTCCTTGTTCAGTTTCCATCTATTATTCCTTGTCTGGCCTACAGGCGCTTTGGAAAATAGCTTGATCACCTTCCTCCTCTCTGTGGCAGCCCCTCAAATATTGGAAGACTGCTATCATGTCTCCCCTGGTCCTTCTCTTCCCTAGACTAGCCATGTCCAGTTCCTGCAACTGTTCATTGTATGTTTTAGCCTCCAGTCCCCTAATCCTCCTGGTTGCTCTTCTCTGTACTTTTTCTAGAGTCTCAACATCTTTTTTATAATGTGGTGACCAAAAATGGATGCAGTACTCTAGGTGTGCCCTTACTAAGGCTTTAAGGCCTAGTTTCTGGCATGCTGCGGCCCAGTGCTGGTACACAGGGGGTTGGGGACCCCTGATTTAGCACCTATTCAAAACTACAGTGGAACTGGAAAAAAAATGACTTATGGCAGTCCTCACACCTATCTCCATTGTCTCTTGGCCATGTGACGAAAATTTATACGCCTGGCAGCCCATGTGTTTGTGAGGGTTGCAGCATCCTAGGGTCATCCAACTGCTATTTGCACATTTCCCAGCTGTCTTCTGGACAAGCAAAGTCAACGGGGAAGCCAGATTCACTGAACAACCGGGTTACTAACAGTGGCAGTGATTCGCTGAACAACAACTGTGGCAAGGAAGGTCGTAAGATGGGGCAAACTCACTTCACAGCTGCCTTGCTTAGCAACGAGAATGTTGGGCTCGGTTCTGGTCATCACTCAAGGACTACCTGTATACGGTGCCAGATTCTACACCCGCAAGATCTTGGTTATTATAATTAGCTAGGCGGTTTTCCGTTAACAGGCCAGACAGTTTGGGCAGAAGAGTCTTACTCCAACCACGAATGTCATAAATCTCAAACTATTTCCTCAAGCAGGGGGGCTGTCACTGCCCCCCTATAGTGCCAACTTGCTTACCTGCCAGGTGCGAACTTGAACCCGATTTGGTTCGACAGTATAAAGATTCTCTTCGTGCATAGCCAGCACAGGGGAATCACAGAGGAAAGAACCTGGAACCGTTCAAAGGAAGAGTCTTACAACGGCCTTAATCTCTCTCTTTATTTGTACAGCTAAGAGCTTCATCAGTTATACCTAAATGTCTACACAAAAAACCCCTATCTTTTCTTTAAGATATGATAAGATAAACTTTGTTGTAATTTTGGTTTTCTGTGAACAGACCGGCACACATTAAAAAAAATGAAATTCTGATCTCCATTCTCCAAAAAAAAAAAATATATGACCATACACACACAGTACATGCACACACTTACACATATGCTATATATGTACATAGATATACATTCATACATATATGTTGTGACTCGGAGGTCTGAATCTGCCTTGTTAGAAGATACAGACTTAAGTAATGAGGGAGAGAGGGATTTGGCTTCGAGATTTGAGCCTGCCTTGCTGGAAGACACAGACTTGAGCCAGGAGGAAGAGGAGGACTTGGCTCTGAGGTTTGAGCCTGTGTTGCTGGAGGATTCGGAATCATCTCCCTCCCCGGGACCTTCCTCCCTGGTTGTGCCTCAGGTGTCGGCAGATAATCAGGAGAGCGTGCCAGAGTCCTTGGCTGAGGATCAAGCCGAGGAATGCTGGTTTGATGCAAGGAAAAGACGCAGGCAGAAGCGGGAAATGCAGCGTAAAAGGAAAGGTCAAATCAGGAACTGACTTGAGGGACTGACACGCCCCTCAGGAAATAAAAGAGGGCGTGTTAGCTCGGAATACTCGTTCGGGACAATTTGTTTATTCGTGATAGCAGCTTGGACAAATTCTCCGTGTGGCATTTGCTTCTTGATTTATGGTCTTGTTTGTTATCGGACTTGGCAGGCAGCTTTTGGAAGACTGCCAAGGATTCCTCCAGTCAAAGGAATTTAACTCTGTCGTTCCTGGTCCTGTCTGTTTATTTATATTCCTTTGAAAACTTGGACTCTCATCTCGTGGTCACAGGTGAGACAGAACACACACACATATATATATATATATATACTGTATATGTATACACACATAGACACAGAGGTGTGTATGTATGTGTGTGCATGTATGTATATATGTATGTATGTATCCATTCTGAATACATTTTAGTATGGAAACATTTTTTCTTGCCTCTTTCTATAAAAAAGCAAATTATTGGCGTTCTATATATAATTTCTAATGCGCACACAAAATTCCATCCAAACCCATTCAACCTACCTGAATTCCGTAAAGTGGCAGCTGACAGTTCATAGATAGAAACTTGCTTTCCATTCCAGAATGCTACAGCATCCTAAAAGACAGGATCAAAAAAGGTCACTAAAAATCCATTTCCTAGATTAATCCACAGATCTCAAAAGGTTCTATCAGTCCTTTAGGGCCAACCGACATATTATGGTTTCTATAGGGTGTGCAGCCTTTCTTTCAGAAGTGTTTGCTTCCAGGGGAAATTTTCATGAGCACCTCCTGGAGTTGATTCTGGTTGCGCCCCATATCAAACTGTGAACTTCACCTAAACAGCATTTAGCTTGCTAAATTTCTAGGGAGATAAAGATTTATCTCCTAGGAATTTGGCAAGCTAAATGCTGTTTATTCAGGTTTAAAAAATTTAAATCTATTAACTTCAATTATTATAGTTTCTGTTTTTTGCTTTACCTTCCTGTGCAGACAGGCAAACTGCTGTTATTTTCATTATTTATTTGATTTTTATAGCTGCCCACCTCAACAAGTAATGCTGCACATGTCAATATGTATCATACGATAGATATTATTATACAAAGGTACCATTTTATATACTACTTTCTTTTATGATCAAATTCTATTAAGCTTCCCTGAATTCCCTTTTAACAGAGATAGGAGAGATAACATAGAAATCATTAAAGCCCATTAAGGGTGAACTCACTGAAATCAACAAGAATTTGAGTTCATCAGATTACATAATGAAATTCACAACCAGTGCCTTAAGGCTGGATTCCTCGGAAAATGTTTTTTATACCTCATCTTCATCCCCAAAACCAAGATAGTGGTACCTCAGTACTCATCATTGGCTATAGGAGGTGCAGTGAGTACCAGAAATAAGGAGTACCAAACACATTTCCCCCCATAATTTTAATATTTAATATTCCCATAAAAACACATTTCTACAGATCTACAGAGGAATCATTGAATCTGTCATCTGTACCTCTATAACTGCCTGGTTTGGCTCTGCAACCCAACAAGACAGACACAGACTTCAGAGGATAATTAGGACTGCAGAAAAAAAAAATTGCTACCAACCTGCCTTCAATCGAGGACCTGCATACTGCATGAGTCAAAAAGAGGGCTGAGAAAATATCTACGGACCCCTCACATCGTGGACATAAACTGTTTCAACTCCTTCCCTCAAAACGACGCTATAGGGCCCTGCACACAAGAACAACTAGACACCAAGGACAGTTTTTCCCTGAATGCCATCACTCTGCTAAACAAATAATTCCTTCAACACAGTCCAAATATTTACAAAGTCTGCATTACTATTACTATTAATCTTCCCATCACTCCTTATCACCTCTCCCCCCCCACTTGTGAGTGTATGACTATAACTTTGTTGCTTGTATACTTACGATTTATATTGACTGTTTCCTAGTATGATTTGATTACTTATTGTACCTATGACTATCATTAAGTGTTGTATCTGATGATTCTTGACTCTTGACGAATGTATCTTTTCTTTTATGTACATTGAGAGGACTTGCACCAAAGACAAATTCCTTGTGTGTCCAACCACAGTTGGCCAATAAAGAATTGAATTCTATTCTATTCTATTCTATTTCTATTTCTATTTCTATTTCTATTTCTATTTCTATTTCTATTTCTATTTCTATTTCTATTTCTATTCTACAAGGAATAATGTAGTGAGTCACAAGGTAGCCGACACCAACAAGTTCTAGCTTGTGCGTCGAGTACCAACAAACGATGAGTACTGGGACAAAATTTTTGCATCAAAATGCACTGAGGACCAATTCCGATGAGTTTCAATGCAGTTCAGTACCAAGGTACCACTGTACATCGATCTGATGGAAAATACCTTGGTTGCGCAGACTCCATTCACATACGTGTCGATACGGAGGTTATCCATCATTTTGCTGCTGAAGCTGGTGATGTTGAACAAGTTAGGGGAAACCTGGACCACGGCCATTTGCTGGTGGAAGTGTGAAGCCATGGCCTGTTCCCTCAGGATGGCAACCGAGTTGTTTAGGTTTACAGCCAACAGGTTCTTTTTGGAACTCCACTGGAAACACGAGGAAGAAAAACACATTAGGATTCACCAGCTGGCTTAGTGAGAAAATGCATTGGGTATAGAGCCACGGACTCTTTGAAAGAAACCTTGAAAAGAAGACAGACATCGATAACTTTTTAAGAGTCTGTAGAGATTCTCAATCATCCAGGTCATGGTTGTCCCAAAGGTGCTTTTTTTTTTTTCAAGAGGCAACTGGACTTTCTTGTTTTTCCTTTGGAAGACGTTTCGCTTCTCATCCCAGAAGCTTCTTCAGCTCTGAAAAATGGGAATCCTTCCATTCTCGACTATCCTGTCAGAGCTGAAGAAGCTTCTGGGATGAGAAGCGAAACCGTCTTCCAAAGAAAAAACAAGAAAGTCCAGTTGCCTTCTGAAAAAAGGCCCTTTTGGGATAACTTTTATTTATTTATTTTTATTTATTTATTTATTTTTGTCAATTGCTCACAAGATAATAGGTATAAGTATAAGTAAAAACATAGTTATGAATACATGGATACATATAAGAAAAATAAAAATAAATAAAAGAAACAATAGGACAGGGACGGTAGGCACGTTGGTGCGCTTATGCACGCCCCCTACGGCTTCTTAGGAAAGGGGTGAGGTCAATAGTAGACAGTCTAAGGTTAAAGTTTTTGGGGTTTGGGGAAGAAACCACAGAGTCAGGTAGAGTATTCCAGACATTGACCATTCTGTTGCTGAAGTCGTATTTCCTCCAATCAAGTTTGGTGAGGTTTACCTTGAGTTTGTATCTATTGTTTGCTCTTGTACTGTTGTGGTTGAAGCTGAAGTATTCACTGACAGGTAGGACATTATGATTTTATACACTATACTTAGATCGGATTATTATTATTATATATATTAGATTGTATTATTATTGTTGTTGTTTTTGTTATTATTGTTATTATTGTTGTTGTTGTTATTGTGATCTTGAATACACCTTGTAGGGGGCGGATAACATTTGCGGCAGTGGTGGTATTCTACTGGTTCAGGCCAGTTCGGCCAAACCGGTAGTAAAAAAACACCTACCAGTTCGGTCGAACCAGTATTTCGTTTTTTTCCTCCCGACAATCAGCTGTTCCAACGATCAGCTGTGCCGGGATCCTCCTCGCTGTCTTACTGTTTCGTCCAGGAAGCTACCCTGAAGCCTAGGAAGCAAAAAACCCGGAGTGTGGGTGGGGGGGGGGGGGGTCACGCAAAAAAGAGAGAGAGAGGCCACGCCCACCCAGTCACATGGCCACTCCCACCTAGGCACACCCACTTAGCCATGCCCACAGAACCAGTAGTAAAAATATTTGCATCCCACCCCTGATTTGGGGGGGGGGGGCTTGGCGGATCGGGGGGGGGGAGGGGGGATGGTTTTGTGTGAGTGGCAGGTGTGCGTGCGTGTGCGCAACTCCATTTGCACAAATGAGGGCGCATGCCTGCCGCTCCCACAAGCGGAGCTGTGCAAGTGTGCCCACCCGCCTGCCACTCAGGCAAGGGGAGTTGCACACACACACACACACACACACACACACGTGTGCTCACCTGTCCCTTGTGCGATCCGGTTCAGAATGGGCCAAGGCCCGGGGATTGTGGACTCCAGATGTACCGGCATCCCTCTGTTTACAACCATTCATTTAGTGGCCATTCAAAGCTACGAGGCCACTGGAAAAACAGTAAGTTAGGATCGGTCCTCACACTTACAACTGTGGCAGCATGCCCCAGTCACAGCCTCAACATTTGGGCACTTGGCAACCAGCGAGCGATCCTAGAATCAGGTGATTGCCGTTTGAAACCTTCCCAGATGGTTCCTGACAAGCAAAATCAAGCCAGATTCACATGATCATGTGGGATTTCGCTTAACAACCATTGCAAAATTCTGGTAAAATGGGACACTGAACAACCAACATGCTTAGCAACGTAAATTCTCATCCCAGTTGTGGTCATTACCCAAGGACTACCTGTACCGTGAACAGGTGGCTTTTTCTGGCCAATTCATCTACCTGGTTTTTGACGAAAAGCTTAATTGGTTAGGTAATAAATTCATGCCAGATAGAAAAATCTGTCAAGGGTCTATTAAATAACTTACAAAAACATGGGGAAAGAAGTGGAAAATCTACAAATGCCTGCTCTTATAAAAAAAATAAAATCCAGGAAGCATTATAAAAATGTGAAATTAATATACTGAAAGGGTTGAAACAAAAACTCGTCGTATATCTAGAAGGTATAGCTAACAAGGCCCAAAATCTATCCAGCAACAAGCTGGTCGAATCAAATGCATTCAGTTTTGGTTATTTATGTAAGACAATTGCCCAGCCTACATCATTTGTTATGATTTGTCCACCATAATAGATCAAGAGAACAAGAACAACCATTGTTACGTCTGCTAATTTAAGTGTATGCTGAACTTAAAAGGCAAACATGAGTGTACTTTTCATCTGCCAAAGATTAACACCACATGCAAATAAACACTTCACGCAGAGTTCCCAACAAGGCTTTATCTATTTGCTCACATTTCCAACGAGTCTCTAGTTTCCTTTCATTCTTATACCTCATTGGAAGAACTTCTTCTTTAAATGTATTTATTGAGCCAAATTAATATCCCATTGCAATCAAACAGACTCTGAGCTCACAGTAATAAAGTAAATAAATAAATAAATACCAAAAATTAAGAAAGGACTTTTCAAAACTTAGTCATGTAATGCTGGCAACACATTTCCAAAGCCTTCTAGAAAATGTCTGTTTTCTTTTTTTTTTTCAGAAGGTGGATAATGTTGGGTAGAAATGAATCTTCAACAGGAGGCCCTTCCAGAGGGAGGGCCCCATCCAATCTCCCCCTTGGCAACTTTTAAGGTGGGTGGACTTCAACTCCCAGAATTCTTCAGCCCGCAGGACCTTAAAGGTTGAGAAATACAGCAGTCCCACCACAACTGAGCCAACATTTCTGTCGCTAAGCAATAGTTATTCAGTGAAATGACCTTCATTTTATGACCTTTCTTGCCACATTTATTAAGTGAATCACTTGCTGTTCTTAAATTAGTAATCCAGTTGCTAAGTGAATCTGGTTTCTCCATTGACTTTGCTTGTTGGAAGTTCGCAAAAGAAGACCACATCATCCCAGGGCAGTGCAACCATCATAAGTAAGAATCAATTGCCAAGCATCTGAATTTTTATCATGTGACCATGGCGATTCTGCAACGGTCATAACTGTGAAAACTAGTCATCAGACACTTTTTTCAGCTCCATTGTAACTTCAAACATTCAGTAAGCAAATGGTCGTAAGTCAAGGGCTACCTATAGGTGGCATCCCCTAATGACTTCTTATCTCTAGAATGCACACCTGTGCCAAAAAGCTTATTCTTAGTATCCCTGATGTGAGATTACACCTTCTTTGGCACATGGTGTTGCATCCAAGTAAGCCAAAGAGAAGGATCCTATCTGTGAGTTTACCTCGATTTGAATGATATTCCCATCCAGCTCTGTAGGGGTCTGGAGTTTCCATCTGTCCTTGCCTTCCAGGGACCAGATGGTTGGGCTGGAGAATGGCACTTTCCTCCACATCGCTATTCGCCCTTTATTGGTGCCAGCGGCTAGAAGACCTGCCAAATGGATCATATTAGATCTGGTCCAGGATGCCCTCACTTTCTTTCTGCCCAAAGCCAACATGTCATCAAACTCCAGTAGGAGCAACAGAAAGAGACGAAACATAGGGGAGAAACAAATCTTAGGTGATAGGGGAAGCTTGTAGTTTAATTTCCAATGGCTGAAATAATTGTTTCCCATGAATATATAAATATGGCTTACTAGTATCATTTTCCCATTTAAAGCTAACGGACCAATTTAAAGCAAGCTGCATCTCATTCCAACTTTGCCATTGAAGGCCAACTCACCACAGCCATGGGACAACTTGCAATGGGACAATTCAATGATACAATTTAATGATTTAAAATAATTTTAAAATAATTTTAATTTTTGACATTCACATTTCATTCCGCTCCCTCTTTTTGCTTCCTTTCTGCAATAATTCTGTTCAACCATTTCTTGGATATTAGTGTAATATCCAATAGTGATATTAGTGAGTTGGCTGTGGCGAATTGTCCTATGGCAAGTTGGCCATGGAGAATTGCCTCGAAGTCTTAAAGTAGCCAAATTGACCCCTGGTTTAAATGTTCTTCTTCGACAGCGTATCTCTCTAGATATAAATGTTTTCCGGGCTGTGTATATTTTGTCTTTAAGTTGCCCCCTTATCAATGTTAGTTGGACTTCCCTCTGTGGAATAGATTACTTCTGAAACCAGTGAGATTTTTAAAAAATGGATAATTAAGATGCTAAAGGTCAAAGCAATCTGATCTTTTGTATACCTTTGGCATTGCAATAGGAGACACAATGGATACATTCTCCAGTTTCAAAGCCTAGCTGTTCATCCAGAGAAAGGACATAATTCTCACCCCGTTCCAAGTCCCAGAACCTACAGAGAAGGTACAAGAAATGTAGTTCATAAGGGGCATGGCTTACAAAAAAATCAACAGGCAATATTGTAAATGTTGTAAACCGATTGTGTAACCAATATTGTAAACCGATGGTGGCCATATTTGTTTTTCTGCCTTGCCTTGGCTGTTTGCCACCTTCTTTTCTTGTATCCGTCCCTAAGACTGTGTGAAACTCTTCCATTCATTCTAAAAATAATCATAACAATGGCTAAACAGTAATCATCCAGTAGCTGGCCTACTGCTTAAGAGGTGAAGCAGGAGGGTAGAGATTAGTTCTTTAACTGAGACAGACATTTCTTGTTCTTCGTGTCTATTCTCTGCTCCTAATAGTCCTGTGACTTTGAAGTAATATGACAGTAATTTTCAGAACACATCCATGAACACCAACTAGCAGTCAGAAGACATGATGAAAATCCTTCAATTTCACAACATATAGACAGATTTAACCATAGTTTCAATTGGGAAAATATGACCCAAAATTTGACTTTTTACCTATCCGTCCATCTGTCTACCCATCCATCATCCAATTTTAAGGCCTGCCTATCTCCCTCACAGAGGGAGAGAGATTGCATATAAGGCAGACGTCATGGTTTAAAAGAAACTCTGGTTAGCTACTAAGCAAGCCAGTTAAGCCATATTTTATCAGGTTGTGTAAGAAAAAGTTAGTGAAAAAAGCGAAAGTTAGAATATTTTGGACCTGGGATGTGACACCCAGAAAAATACGGCATACTTCACTTGATCCTCCAGGGAAAGATTGAAGGCAAATGAGGTCCAAGGAGAAGAACATCATAGCTACAAAATCTAAGGGACTGGTTTGGACAAAACTCAGCAGCACTTTTTTGTGCAGCTGTTGATAAAAATAGGATCGCCAACCTGATCACCAATGTCCGATGATGGATAGAGGAGGAGGAGGAGGAGGAGTAAGGTCTCAGGAGTTCTTACAGGCACCTCTTTGCTCTTAAATCTAATGTTGCATTTGGTATAATTTAAGGTTTTAAGTGAACCAGGCAGCACCTCAAAAGACCAAATGATTTTCTTACCTAAGTAGGGGTTCGTTCGTTGCAGTGATAAGGAGGCTATGATCAATCAAAATGATATCAGCGGGATGATTCATTTTTCCACTCAACTTCACCTGGTAACAAAAAGCATTCAGCGCACCAAGTTATTGAGTTTAATCCTTTTTTTCAAAAACCATGGTCCAAGTAAGCCATGCGCACCGAAATAAAAGTGCTTGACAATTATAAAAGGCAGTTCCAGGTGTCTGCTCATAAATTATTTTGATTCTTCAATTTCAGGCATGTCTAATGAAGTGGAACTCCAGCGTCCTCAAGGCAGCTGGTAAATTAGCCAAAACCCATAATAATTAACTATTTTCTTAAGTAAGGCATCACAGAGCCTGCTACCTCACCTTCAGAAGTTCTTCTGCTTCTCCTTCAGGAGAAATCTTGTGAAGGGATAAGAGGAGCGTCTCCGTTATTATTACTAAGACATCTTTTTCCATGAACAGCATTTTTTGGATTGAAGTTTCTATAATCAACGCTTGATTGGTTTTTCCTCTTTCACTCACATAATGCACAGTTCCTGCAATGCAAACAATTGGGTAGTTAACTCAGCCACCTAATGAAGCTCAGGGCGTCCCAAATTCGGGATGAACAGTGAAAGAATTATCTCAAATTATCTCAAGAGTGGAATCAACCGATGCATTTTTCAAAACGGTGGAAAGAAACTTAACGTAAGATGTTATGAAGATGGCAGTTACGGGAGATTGTGATGAAAGCCAACTTTGACTTTGGGGCAATCCTGAGTTCTAGTCCAGGCTTAGACATGAAAGCCAGCTAGGTGACTTGGGGCCAGGCCCAACCCACCTCACAGGGTGGTTGTTTTGGGGAAAATAGGAGGAGGAAGGTGTGTTGGGTATGTTCACCGCCTTGAGTTATTTGAAAAAATAACGAAGTTGGAAAATCAATAAAAAAGAAAGAAAGACTAAGAATAACGACTAAAAATAAAAGAGAGTCAGGCTAAACAGGTAGGCTAAAAGGAATCCACAGACTCTATGGAAAGTGGCATTACTCACTGTCAATATTAAGAGTGTGAACAAATAAGAAATTGCAGGAAACCGATTCAAAGCGCTCTCTCTTTCGCTCTCTGCACTTGTGCAAAGATGCAAGGAAAATGAGCTCTCTTCGTGCCTTGTTTACATCTCAAAAGGTAGGAGCAACTTGCCAAATTTAAATCCCGTGCATTTGTGGTTTACCCATAGGGGGAGCTGTGATCTTCCAAATTAACCACCATATGAATTTCATGGGGAATGAAGATTGGTTTGTGGCATAGTCAGCCAGATGTTCAGACTGGATTTGACATTTTAATTCATCTATGAAATCCTTCCCAAGGACCTGGGATAGGCAGACCTGGATGTTTGATGGTGTTAGAGGTAATGTTGCAGGATGCAAGCTGTTCCAAGTACAGCTGCCTTTTGCAATTGATTACTGATGAATTTGTCAACGCCAATGGTGTTAAGTAGTGCTCCAGTTGTTTTGGGATTTATCATAAAGATTATAAATGATATGGAATATATTACTATATATGAGTTTATAGAAGTAGACCTCAAAGGTCCTTGGGGCAGCTTGTAGGAACCAGAAGAATTAGCTTTTTCTTAAGTTAATCCATCACACAGCTTTAAATATTTGTGTAAATCATAGAACATAAATGTAAAGAATAAAGATCAGCCAATACATTCTTGTTTTTAAATCTGCTTTGTTCTTACCATCAATCATGCTTACAAAGAAGGACAGGCCTTCCTGGGGTCCCATTTTCAGAGCCATCCCCATTCCAGATTTTCTCCAGTTAAACATATCCAGGGCCTTCTCATCACCGCTCACTGCAGCTTTGGCGAGCTGGACCAAATCTCTGCAGGTAAGAACAAGACATTTCAGTTTTGGCATCCTTTGGATTTATCTACAAGGCGACAGCTTCCTTTTTACAGGCAGACCTCGAGTTACAACCATCCATTTAGTGGCCATTCAAAGCTGTAACAGCTCTGAAAAAAAGTGATTTTTTTTTAAACTGGTCCTCGCACTTATGCCTGTCACAGCATTCCTAAGGTCACATAGTCAAAATGCGGGTGCTTGGCAACTGGCTTGTATTTATGACAGTTGCAGTGTCCCGGGGTCATGTGATCATCATTTGCAACCTTCCCAGCTGGCTTCTGACAAAGTCAACGGGTGAAAGCTGGATTTGCTTAATCACCACATGATTCAGCAACAGCAGAATTGCTTAACAACCACGGCAAAAATAGTCATAAAATTGGGGGTGATTTATTTAATAACCACCATCCCTAGCAATGGAAATTCTGGTCGCAGCTGTGATTGTAAGTCAAGGATTCCTTGTAAAAAAAATAATAACTTCTTTAAACAATAAGAGGTTTCTCACCCCACAAGGAAGTCCCAGATATTTTCTAATATTAAGGTTTTTTTTCTGATAGGCACTTAGGGCATAGCACAAGAGTCTTCAAACTTGGCAAGTTTAAGACTTGTGGATTTCAACTCCCAGATTTCCTGAGCTAACAGGACTGGAGGAGGAATTCTGGGAGTTGAAGTCCACAAGTCTTAAAGCTGTCAAGTTTGAAGACTGCTGGCATTGCACAAAAGGAAACAGTAGGCCTCCATTGGATTTTAAACATATACTGTACCGCAAGCAACAACATAATTTTTTAGACAATTTAGGAAGATAAAGAGGATGAAAAAAATAAAAGGTTTCAACCTGAGAAACTATAAAAATAGATAATGCTAAACAATGATTTTAAAAAATGAAACACAGGGAAAAAACTGGCACTTGATTCATCATCGATACTGACGCCTAAAAATCAAAGAAGTTTCACACTTTTTGTTCCAGTGAAACTTAATATTCACAGACGAAGAAATTCTAGCCAATTCTTTCATACTTACTCTCCTGGAGGAGGTGGGCGAAAAATGCAGAAATTAAGATGTTTTCCATACTCGTGTTTTAACAAAGGGGGGCCTTGGACTCTACCCCGCTGATCCATCCGCCACAATACAAGAACCCCGAGCTACAAAAGAGAGATCTATTAATATTTTCTTATGGACCGTTTGTTCGGCAATTGATGGTCCTGGTTTTGAGACGAGTTCGTATCTTTTTAAAAAAAAATATAGTTTATTTATACGTTTTCAATTAACAGTGCTTATATAAGTGCTTTGGAAACAGTGCATTCTCTGGGTCAGTTCCTTACATAATAAAGTTTTCCCAGCTCCTAATTTCTACTTCTATTACATCCAATCATTGATAAAACAAATCCCATATTTGGAAATATTCTGTATCTTCCTTCTCTTTTATCGTTAATGTCAAGTCTATCCATTTCTTTGCAATCTAATATATATATATTTAATTACATCTTCTTCTCTCGGCGTTTCTTCATTTTTCCAATACTGTGCAAATACAATTCTTGCTGAGATAAGCTTGTATCTTTTATCGATCACTATATACGGAGAAGCAAGTTCTCTATAATTGGCCGTAAAGAAGCACACTAACCAAAATGCGCTCAGTGGCAATTCTTGTGATCTTTTTTAGAATGAAAACAGCTCGTGATTTTTGCTATGCCAAGGGAATCCAATGTACCGGTAGGTAATTCTTGACTTGCGACCACAACTGGGGCCAGAATTCCCGTTACTAAGCAAGACTGGTGTTAAGTGAGTTGGGGCTGATTTTCACTACCTTGTTTGCCACTGTTGTTGTGGAAATCACTGCAGTGAAGTGAATAAGGGGTCCCTTAAGTCAGGGGTCACCAACCTTTTGGGCCTCAGGGACCACCAAACTCATAATTGTAAATCCCGGGGACCAGTAACCGGCTCTGTGGGTGTGGCCTAATTTGTGGGTGTGGCTTGGTGGTCATGTGACTGGCTGGGCATGGCTTGTATGTAAATATTATAAATATTTGTATAAATATTGAATTTTTTATTTTAAAAAGAGCAACTTTTACCCAAAAGCAGGCAGGCAGATTGAGTTGCTCACAGAATCACAGATTCACTTCGAGATCTGTGTTTCTGCCATCAGCTACCTGAGTCTGTCACATAAAATTTCCTTGCCAGCAAACTCATAAAATTTGCTACCAAGCAAACTCACAAAATTAACTCACAACACACCATGTATGTAAATATTGAATATTTTATTTTTAAAAAAGCAACTTTTACCCAAAATCAGGCAAAGCAGGCAGGCAGCATTGAGTTGCTCACAGAATCACAGATTCACATAGAGATCTGTGTTTCTGCCATCGGCTATCTGAGTCTGCACTGCTTCAGTCCTAAGGAAGGTTCAGCTCTGCTTAACAGAGCCTAAGATCTAAAGATTAGCTAGAAAGCAAGAAATCCAACCATTTCCTGCTTCCCAGCTAATCTAAATCTCCCGGCACAGCAGAACAGCTGATGGTCGGAAAAAGGAAAAATAGGAACTTAGCCGGCAAGTTTGCCTGGTGAGGAGTGAGTGGGCGGGGAGGGTTCCCGCGGGCCATGTGGGCGGCGCAGCCTTTTGTTTCTGTGCAGCCTGGATTAATTGCTTTGGGGGGTGCTCTGGGGGTGACATCTCTCTGCAGCCCACCAAAATTTTCTCACAGACCACCAGTGGGCCGTAACCCACCAGTTGGCGACTGCTGGCTTAAGTGAACTGCCCTTGACTCTGCTTGTTGGAAGCCAGCTGGGAAGCTCATCAATGATGATCCCATGCAGGGGTGGACTGCTGGGGGGTTTGCAGGGGTTCGGGAGAGCCCCTAGCTAAGATTCTGTGCAGTTCGGAGCATCTACCAAATCCCACTCCTGGCCGGCCTCACCCACCCCATCGCTCCCCCTCCCAGAAGTCCCCAAGCTGCCTGTTTTAGATGCAGGTAAGTGCAGGGCTCGCACAGGGGCTCGAGAAGGGCAAAAAGCGGGCCTCCCAGAAGTTATGGAAGGCCAAAAATGGGCCCCTTTCCATCTTCCAGAGAGCCTCCAGAGCCCAGGGCAGGCCATTTTAGCCCTCCCAGAGGCTCAAGGAAAGTCTCCGGAGCCCGGGGAGGGCAAAATCACCCCCACCCGCCATGGTGCAGGAGGTCAACTAGGCCACGCCCAGCATGGCCAAGCCCACCCAGCAACCAGGCAGAGAATCCGTTGCTAACATTTTTGAAGCCCGCCCCTGATCCCCTGATCCCGAATCACTGCAACCATCATAAACACATGCCAGTTTCCAATATCCGAATTCTGATCACATGACTGTGAGGTTGTTAAGGGAGAGGACTGGTTGTAAGTTATTATTATTATTATTATTATTATTATTATTATTATTATTATTATTATTTATTATTATTAATTATTATTATTATTATTATTATTAGTGGTGCTGTAAGTTCAAACAGTCACGAAACAAAGGGGTTGTACGTCAAGGATTAACTGTAGGATATAATTTGCTCGGAAGTAAACATGAATCAATGTTCGGGGTTCTAGGAAGGAAAATGGAAAGGGTTACATTTGTAGGGGTGTCACCTCCTCACTCAACGCCCTGCAGCCCTTGGCATCAACATGCGCGTCATGCTCTTCCCGTCTGGCAGGTTCATGGCCAGATGGCAAGCAGTAGTTGCTATGCTGTCAATCACAAATAAGCTACCCAAACCTCGACAATAGAAAACTTGTCTGGTTTGGTTCTGCAACCCAACAGGACAGACACAGACTTCAGAGGATAATTAGGACTGCGGACAAAAACAATAGCTACCAACCTGCCTTCCATAGAGGATCTGTATACTGCACGAGTCAAAAAGAGGGCTGGGAAAATATCTACAGACCCCTCACATCCTGGACATAAACTGTTTCAACTCCTACCCTCAAAACGACGCCATAAGGCACTGCACACCAGAACAACTAGACACAAGGACAATTTTTCCCCAAACGCCATCACTCTGCTAAACAAATAATTCCCTCAACACTGTTCAACTATTTACAAAGTCTGCACTGCTATCACTATTAATTTTCTCATCACTCCTTATCACCCATCCCCTCCCACTTGTGACTGTATGACTGTAACTGTGTTGCTTGCATCCTAATGATTTTTATTGACTGTTTCCTAATATGATTTGATGGCTTATTGTACCCTATGACTATTATTAAGTGTTGTACCTGATGATTCTTGACTCTTGACAAATGTACCTTTTCTTTTATGTACATTGAGAGCATTTGCACCAAGACAAATTCCTTGTGTGTCCAATCACACTTGGCCAATAAAAGAATTTTACTTCTATTCTATTCTTGTACTTGATAATTACGTGTCATCTAAGCCACTCCAACTTTTAGAAGCAGTCAAAAAAAATTGTCTTGTTCACCAGAAGAGCATTTTCCTATTTCCCATACTCATTTAGGGTCAATTCAGCCCTTTGGAGTATATGTATAAGTCAATTCTTAATATTGTGTGATGCTACACTGGGTCATCAGGAATTAAATCCCAGTTGAGATAATTGTCAAATAACGGAGTGGAATTACAGAGTAGAGAAAAGCTACATTTTCAAAAAAACATTTCTGTTTTAGGGTAAAAGCAACACCAAAATCTAATTTTGTCTGGGCGATGTTCTCTATTAAAATTGTCTCACTTATCTGAAAATTTCAAATATACGTATGCAGGAATGAGGAAAAGTTGGCAATTTCTGAAGTGCAGGGGGGGAAGGTTATTAACAAGAAGAGCACCAAAGAATGGATGTTTCTGAATTTTTAAAATACAGATAATCCTGGTAATGGATTGCTCAAGTCACATGATTCAATTTTCAGTTTGCCATCATTTTGTTTTGTGCTTTGAAAGTCGGCAAAATAGAATAAAAAGATTGGGAAAATGTACCTGACATGTCAACGAGAGAAATTTCCATAATCTGTGTTAACGAATGATATATAGACTATGCATTGATGTGCTATTCAAAAGCCATTTTGATTTTGCTACTTACTTTATCTCCAGAAACGAGACGGGTCCCATTAGTACTCCAATTCAGGACTGAAATATCAGCATTATGATTGGAGGGTACAGCATGATGCTCCTTGTCTTGTTTATTCACTACTACCACATCCCCCATTTCGCAACCCACGGCCACAATCAGTTTGGAGGGGTGCCAACTGAGATACGTGACCCGAAAGTTTTTTTCCAAGTGTGCATCACCCACATACTCTCCCTGGGGGAGGGAAAAGGGAAACAGAACATCATTATACACACACACACACACACACACACACACAAAATCTCCCAGGAAATCTGGGAGTTGAAGTCCACCTGTCTTAAAGTTGATATGGTTGAGAAATTACACTCACATACATGTCTCTCTCTCCCTCTCTCTCTCTAATATCTATCTATCTCTGTCTATCATCTATCACTGTCTCTATTTAGCCTATCATCTATCTATCTATCTATCTATCCATCCATCCATCCATCCATCCATCCATCCATCCATCCATCCATCCATCCATCTCTAGCATCTATCTATAAATCATATATCACTATCTCTATCTATCTATCTATCTATCTATCTATCTATCTATCTATCTATCTATCTATCTATCTATCTATCTATCTCTATAATATCTGTCTGTCTGTCTATTTGTTTCTCACCCATATCAACTTTAAAACAGGTGGACTTCAACTCCTAGAGTTGCTCCGCCAGCATCACCTTCAATAAATCTCTGACTCTCTAAATAAATCTAAATTTATATATTATGCAGGTAATGCAAATGGCTAGCACTTTATTAGCCCAAGACAACCATTAGTTTTAGAACACTTGCCTGTTCTTGAAAAATATCCACACTGCCGCCAGAGTTTGCATTAATGGATGCAACAGCTAAAAGTGGCTGAAGACGGTGCCACGTTATGTGGGTGTGGGGTCCACAGGACTCAAGAGCTTCTATTCGATGATCAATGTAGACCGCCATGGTCAGACGCCTATGAGATAAAGTATTTATTGTATAAGCAGCTGAAGAGTGAGAGCCAAATATGACACCGAAAGGCAAATTATATGTTGAAACATAAACTGAAGAAATCAAAAATAAATGTTCTTTGCACATGGAAGGAATTAATCCCACCCCTTATTTAGCTCTTAATTTAGTAATATATTTATTTTCTTTCTCGAACCAGAAGCAGAAACGAAAACGCGCAGAGGGCAAATTCTTGCTTTCCCCCATCTACACACAGATTAAGAGTGCTCCAATTTGCTCCAATTGAAATGTGAGAGAAATGAAGACTCCAAGCAAGCAAATTGTACAAATCACCATCCATCATAAGAGCGCTGTTCCTGTTCAAAGCTGTCCAGAATCCTCTGAAGTGAGTGGCCATGTCAAATCAAATCAACTAAATTAAATGTTGCAGATGTTTGCATTTGAAAGGCAAGGAGGAGGTGATGGAGAGGAGGACCCAGAATTGTTGGGGCCAATATATTGACACTATAAACCGCTTAGAGAGAGGGCTGTAATAACTGTGAAGCGGTATATAAGTCTAAGTGCTATTGCTACATCATTAAAAAAAAACACCTAAAATCTCTTATCAATCAACTCCATAGTCTAGCCTATAGTTCTGAGATTTCCTGGTGGCGTCATGTCCAAACACTAACTAGATCTGATTCCATTTTGCATTTCTTCCAAATTAATAGTGACGGGCAGCTAAATAACAACACACAAGCACACCTAATCATTTTATTACATTTTCGTGCTGCCCATCTCTCTTACAGGGCAGATAATACAAGCATATCAATCACTAAGAAATAAATTAATCACAAACACGACACAGGTCCTGCAGACTTCAACTCCCAGGATTCCCCAGCAACCCTTGCAGGCTGTGGAATCCTGGGAGTTGAAGTCCGCCCATCCACAAGTGGCCAAGGTTCATAAATCACTGCTTTAAAGCCTTGCAAAGGGCCAGGAGAGATGATAAAGATTGAGGGGCGCGTTTTAAACCATGATTAATTTAAGGGTTCTCCTTTGCTTACCCCCCCCCCCATTCCACCCCATTGGGGATCTCCTGTATGGCCGTTAAGCCCAGCTGGAATCCTAGAGACTTCATGGACGCAGCTGTGACTGCGTGACAATAAACACAGCTGTGTGGGGATCGCCTTTGCCTTCCCTCTGGGATGTTTCCCCGATCTGGCAGCCCAGGGATCTCCTGGTGGTCTCCCATCCATGCTTCCACAAAAGCCGCGCTTTTCCTACGGAAGGAGCCCAGGCTTATATAGAAAGCCCCTCGGAGCGCTAGTTGGGCCGAAGGGCTTCCTTTTCGGTCCCACCCCTCCAGCTAGGAAAAGGCCTCGGAAGCAGCGAGGCGAGTCCTCCCGTCATCCCGGACTTCACCGCCTTACCAGCTCCCCGAGTCGGATCCGATCGAGGCCTGCTGGGGCCTATCGGCCGCTTGAAAGAGAGGCTTCGCGTTGCCCTTGGCAACGGCGAGCGCCCCGCCCCGGAAATATCCGAAGGGGAAGCGAAGAGAGCCGAAGTGGGGGATGGGGGGGGAAAGGAGGTCGGGCGGAAATTGCCGAGCGCTTTCGCGCATCGCTTGTTCGCATAGGCAGTGGAAAAGGCGCTCTTGGGGTTTGAAAAACTGTTTTTTTTTTTTCTCTTTCTCTCTTCCGTTTTGGACTTTCTGCCCAAACAAATAATAAACACACACACCCCGGGTTTTGTTGCTGTAGGTTTTGTTCTCAAACAAGCCAAGACGATTCAGATTCAGTGGCAGTATTTTATTTACAAAATTTATTTACAGAATGAGAGTTGGAAGGGACCTTGTAGGTCATCTAGACCAACTTCCCCGCCCAAGCAGGAGACCCTGTATTTACTTACACACATATATATACATGTGTGTGTTTGTCTATGTATGTATGTATGTGTATATATAATCTATAACTATAAATTATAGTTTCTCTTCCAAGGATAATAGAAAGCCTGCGATTTCATTGATTTAATTTTTATAATAGCAATAGCTTTCATAGAATAAAGTTTGCCTCGATTGCGAACAGATCAATAGGGCAGAGTCGCGGGAAAAATAAAACTGCAACCTTTTTAAAAAAAAAAAAAATCGCTCCACCTCTTTAGGCATTGGTCCCCTGCCCTGCCCATCCAACAGGAACCAGCCAATTAATGCTCCCCCCCCAAAAAAAATGACGTACTCCCCTCCCCTTTCTGAATCCCCGCCCATCCCTTCCTCGGAGCCCGTGTAAGCTCCTCCCTCTACCACTTCCGGCACGGCTTGGCTGCCCTCCAATCTCTCTCTCCCTCATCCCCGCATCTCCAACGCGCGCTGGCCCGTCCCGTGTCATCTGTCGCGCGCGGCGCTCCGATTGGTCAAGCCTTTTGCTTCCGCGTCCTCCCCTCCGTTCGACGCCGACCAATGAAAACATTTGTTTGGGAGTCGTGGTGGGGGGGTTGGAAAAACAAAACAAAACAACTCTCTTTCCTCCTCCTTCCCCCACCTCCCCCCCTTTCTCTTCTTGCCTGTCTTTTTTTTTCTCCCCGCCCCCTTTGGAGGCGGGGCTTGTCGAGCTCTCTCTCCTCTGGGCCTGCCGGGCTCGCGCGCGCCGGGTCTCTCTCTTCCTCTCCCTCTCTGCCCCCATCTGTGCACGGCGGCGCGTGGCAGCAAACGAGGAAGCGGAAGAAGAAGAGGCAACCGGGGAGCTCGCGGGGCAGGCAGCGGGTGGCGTTGCCAGGCGCCCGCCGGCCCGCCGAGGAGTTGCGGGGCGGAGAAGCCGCCCAGGGCGGCTGCCGGGATCGGTTGCCCTGCCGCCGCCGGTGCCGGAGGATCCCCATGCATCAGGTAGAGGACCAGGCCCGGGCTCTTGCATATACCCAGTAGCGTGTATGTGTGTGGTGTATGGGGAGGTGGGAGGTGTCTCCTCGCCCTTCCAGCCCGGTCTGTAAAGCAACGCTGGGTTGCTGCCACCCCCCCGCCCCATCAAGGGTGTGCAATGCATATCGGCTCCTGGGATTGACTTTCGCCTTGCAAAGGTTGGATAATTCCGGCCGGCGGGGGCGCAGAGAGGAGATATAATAATAATGGGGACAACCCCCCCCCCCCGCCCGCCCTGGGCTGGGCTTCCTAGGAGAGGAACGGTAGCTTGCACGGTGGTCATCTTCACCGAGGAAGCGAAGGAGGGGCGTTTGCATTAGGAAAGGGGAGGGGGAAAAGGGGGGGAGAGGTGTCATCAGAGGGGAGGGAATATAAGCCGTGGCGGGAGTAAATATTGACCGACATAGTATATAGTAAGGTGGCAGAGCAGAGGTATCGGTGCAATGGGGGGAAAATGAGTGGGGAGGATGCGGGAAGGGATGGAAATCTGGCAGCCGTGTGAAAGGGGGAAGGAGAAATGATCAGATAAAATGCAATTATTTTTTATTATTATGCAGTTGGGCGTGTTCAGACGGGCCAGTTGTTCCAGTCTGCTGACAATGCCACTTCCCCATCTGGGATATCATTCCCTAAGATATCTGAACAGCAATATTAAAACAGAACATACATGATTATTTCAGATTATCTTTAATATGCCTTCTTATGGCCCGTGGATTTGTTTCTCTGCTTCTGTGGAACCGGGTAGCCAGTTCTGCGGATCCCTTGATTATCATGCTGGATGGTTTTCTTGTGCGGCCATTTTTGAAACTATTTCAAGGCTGAACTGAAATGTCTATCCCCAAATGAATAAAACGTGCAGCAGAGAATGTGATTTTAAAAGCTCTTTGCCTTCTAATGCTTTTGGGCATTTAGTTCCAGTGAAGTTGTAGAGCTTCCATCTTGGTATATTCGGTTTTGAAAATGGGCACAAAATAGAATATTTTGCATTCAAGTGCTCCCAAGTGAAGCTTTTGAAAGGAATGTATATGCACTGTTTTCTTGAAAGGTTATTAATATTCTTTGGAGGTGCTGAGTCTTTTGGCTAAAAGCAACTTTCTACTGCTGCTGTCCTTGTTATGCTGGTGACTAGCTCTTTGCCAATGGGTGTATTGTAATTTCTAATTGAAAATATCCTTATGTGTGCTTGGTGGTAAATAAGGACCACTTTAATTCTCAGTGTACCCGAAGAGTGCTTAATTTTTCAGGGTATATTTCCAAATGTCTGATACTCATATGAACTGTGATAGAAGTTGAAAGATATTTTGCTTTGCATCTTTTCCAGTGTTGTTGACTGCATGTATTTCTTTTTTTAAAAGAGAGAGGGGGTGGTTTATGTGGTTAATATCAGTTCGAAGGCTTCCCCCCAGAAGGTTTTTTTTCCTAAAAAAAAAAAGCAGTAACCCAGGGATATAATTGTCAAAAAAAAAGTCATGTTCAAATATAGATTACCCTTTTCATGAAAACCTGGCAAGTGAATGGCTCCTGGTTTGAAAAAATGGCTCAACGGAGCCTGGAATCTAAACGTTGGGCAGCCATTTATTCCCAATAGTGAAGAGGGAAGGGAAAGTGTTAGACCTCCCTTGCAAAAATAAAATTCTGAATTCTAACCCACACTAAGTTGTCTTTACGCCCCCCCACCCCCACAATAACGCCCCCAACCCATAAAGCTTCTCTCCACCTTTCCAATGCAAGAGTAATAAGTAAGTTCACTAAAAGGGGGTGGGAGACAGTGATGGGGTGGGGAGGGGGCTGGCCCTCCTAGACGGGGGTGCCTTCTGCACCCCCAGACCCCCCTCCCCAACACAACTCCAGGCTTTTGTTCGTCTCCCTCCCTTGCAAAAACAGGAGTTGCGCGTGCCTTTTTCCCCGAGGAAGGGCGCGTCGGGAAGAGGGGGCTTCCTTTTTTTGCTGCTTTTTTTTTTTTTTTGCTTTTTGAAAAGCGGGGTGGGCGGCAAAAGAAGAAGAGTTGGAAATCTTTGCACTGTCTCTTCCCCTCCCCCCCCCCAAACCCCCGTCCGGGAGAAAGAGAGAGAGAAAAGGAGGGAGACACACACACACACTCACAAACACACACACACACACACCCAGAGGCACACAGGCAGGCGCACACCCTCGCTCGCAAAGAGAGGAGGAGAAACTGCTGCTGGGTTGCTGCAGCGAGGATCATGAATGCCCCCCCTTCGGCAGCTCGCCTCGCCTCGGCTCCATGGTGAGGAGAAGGAAGAGCCCCCCCGGCCCGGCAGACCCGCACCATGGGTAGGACGGGGCGGCGGGGGGTCGCTCGGGGGGGGCCCTCCACCCGCGCGCTCCGGCCAGGCCGCCTCTGCCTTTTCTGCCTTGCCCAGACACTTTCCCCCCTCCGCCGACTTGGGCCGCTTCCCCGGGCTCGGCTCCGGAGGGTCTCCCGCCCCAGGCAACCACGTGTGGGGGGGGGCGGGTGGGGGGGGTCCCCTTGAGCCGGGCTTCGGGCCCCCCGCGGACCCTCCTCCGCCCGCGCGCTCGGGTCGGGACGAGAGATGGGAATGGAGTGGCAAACAACGGCGGCCATGTTGAGCGGAATGTCTGCGGCGAAACTTCTCCCCGCGGGGGGGATGAAAGGCGGGTGGGGGGCGGCCGGGCCGGGCCTGGGGAGCCCTCGGCGATGGTGGGGGGAGACCCCCGTGGGGTGGGGAGGGTCCCTTGGCTGCCGCGCCCGGGGCTTGTTTTGGGTTGTTTTGGGCCGCCAGCCTCACCCTCTTCTTCCTCCTCCTCCTCTTCTTTTTTTCCCCCTCCTGCCAGGATGACAGTCAAGCTGGGTGACCACAGCAGCAGCGTTGGAGCCTCCGAGGAAGGCCTGAGGAAGCTGGGCAAGCGAGGAGCCTCCGGCGAGGACGAGGGGTGCCCTGGAGGAGGAGGAGGAGGAGGAGGAGGATGTGCAGGAGACGGGGCCAAGAAAGGCGAGGAGGAGGGGACCCCTCAAGGAGAGACGAACGGGGGTCCCTCCTCGGGAGTCCCAGCCTCACCCCCGGCCTCGTCCTCCTCGGGACCACCACCACCGGCAGCGCCTGGCCACGACCAGCATCACTTCCTCCGGTCCAGCGTCCGGCCGCAGAGCAAGAGGCTGAGGAAGGATCCCCAGGCATCCTGTGCAGCGGCCAGCAGTGGAACGGGCAGCAGTGGGGGCAGCGCTGCCCCCACGGGAAAAGGAAAAGGTGGGTCATACATGCAGACCCCCCACCCACCCACCCATCACGCTGGACATGGGTCACACATGCAGACCGTCAGCCGCCACAGCCAATGATAGTTCATGCAGAAGGAGAATCCGGGGTGAACCCGTCACTTGGGAGCGGACCCCGAAATGTATATTATGAGGGTACAGGTGATCTGAAGCATCATTTGTCAGACGGGGTTTTTCTTTTCCACCCCAAATTGATCTGGTGGGGTCAAAATCCACCCAGAAGGCTTGGATTCAAATTGGGAAATCCATTTAGATTGGGAATGTGGCTTGGTTGTGCTATTCCCGCTGCTTGACTTTTTTTTTTAGTGATTTTGGTTTTTTGTTTTTATCTTCCTTGGATTCTCGAGGTTTAAGTTGGCCCACTCTCGGGTCTGAATGGGTCAAGAATTTAATTGATTGATTGTCGTGATAATCAGCCTTGATAATCTTAGAAGCAGCCTCCTTTAAAAGCTTCAATCTGATCTTTTGGATTGCTGCATGGTGATTGAGTTCCATCGTGGATATATCTAGCATCTGGCGTCCCTGGGCACGGCCTGGTTCTTAGTCAACAAGTGAGTCGCGATGTTTTCTTGTCCATTTCCAGAATATAATTTTTGATGCTTTTCGAGATGCGAAAAGAGAGGTCGTTTGAATGAATCTGATGTTTCCAGACTGGGAATCTCTTGATCCATTCTTTGTTGTCTTTAACCGATGGATTGTATAAATTTCTGAATTAGAATCAACTGAGTTAGGGTGGGTTTTTTGTTTTTGTAATCACCAATATTGGTTTTTTGATTAGGGCTCAGTGATAAGTCATTTCCATGGATTTAATTATTTCAGGGTTTTTTTTAAATTAACCAGTTGCATTTATGGAAACGGAGATCCGTAGGACTTCTATAAAATGGTCTTCACTGGGTCCTTTTATTAAAAATGTTTTCCCAGATGAACTAGTATATTCAATGGGAGAGATAAATAGCTATAGAGATGTTATTAGAGATGGTTTTTTTAAGACAGCCTTCTACAACTTTGGAACATTTGTTTAGGAGTCAAAATTGTAGAATCCTTTATGGGATATTTTTGGCAACAGGGCAGAAAATGATGCCACATCAGATTTGACATTAATCATTTTTGAATAACATGCAGTGAATGATTTCATACATAATGAGTGACTTGTGGAGTTTTATCCTCAAAAGTGGATTGTGTGAATCCATCCAGTTTTCAGTTATTTAGTGAAGGGCAGTTAAATATATCATATTTTAACATGATATACTAAACTTGTCAAAGCTCTGTGAAACTTCAGCATTGTTTCAGCAAAGGAATACTTTATTGTCCTTTCCACTACTAAAACATTTTTACTCACATTTATTTCCTGAAATTCTTTCATCCTAATGCTATAGGCAGAACAGCTAATAACCACTTAGTGTAAACATGTACATATAGTGAAAGTGAAATAGACATCACAAAGTACCTTTGCTTTACCTGATTATACGAAGTGCTACTTCCTTATGTGGATGTGTCTTTTTGGAATGCAACATTTCACTTAGATGTACCTTTTGACAATCTAAGATCAACATATATGTAGTTATTAATTTCAAAAGAAGTCTTTGCCATATTCAGCATCCTAGATCCAATTCTTACAGTTAGAGTCAAGGAAAGATGTTTTTGACAACATGGACCTAGACTTCAATTCCCAGAATTCCCCAAACAGTGTACCCTTTACAGAGAATTGTGGGAATGCAGTCCTAAGTGGGAAACCCAGGTATAGACGAGTACAGGTATTTTTTCCAGAGTGCTGGATGGAAAATTTTCATTTGCTGCCTAATCCTTCTAACTGGAGCCTAAATCTTGCGTATTCCGCAAGCAGAGTCTATACTGCCCAATTGAATTCAATACATTTCTGCAGGACTCCTCTTGGAATGAATGGAAATTCTACCATACTCTGGAGTCCTCAGTGCTCTCTGAACTTAATTGTTTTTTTTGCAGATCTTTCATTAGAGGGGGAGGAGGACTGAGGTCCTGGGTGCTTTCTAAACGTGGTTATTTTCTTGCAGATCTTTCATTGCCCAACCAGGTAACATCTTCAGTGCTAGGACCGTCTTCTACCATAACATGGCTGCATGTTAATGCGGCCTTATTTTTTTTAACAGCGTAGTTAGGAATGTATACATTTGGAGCTGGTTTCTCATCCTTGAGATAAATGTAGTGAAAGGGGTGGGGGGGGAAGTCTTACTTTTTTTCAACAGAACAACATGCTTCAGCAGTTGCAAGAACAGCCAGGAAAGTGCTTGCATTTCCACATGTCTTTGATGTGTTGAATCTGATAATGAAGTAGGCTACTTTAATCACGAATTTCAGTTGTAGAGAGGCGACAGACGGAGGCAATGACCAGCATTTAACAATGAAACGCATCTCGTACAGTGTAGGACAGGGGTCTTCAAGCTTGACAGCTTTAAGACTTGTGGACGTCAACTCCCAGAATTCCTTCTCCAGTCATGTTAGCTCGGGAATTTCTGGGAATTTCTGGGAGTTGACGTCCACAAGTCTTAAAGTTGCCAAGTTTGAAGACCCTTGGTGTAGGAGGTAAGGGAAAATAAATAAATGGAGGCATGGCATCATTTCAGGTTTTCATAACAGCATAGTGTCCTTGTGAAGAAGTTGAAACTATAATTTGGGAGACTTAATGACTGTCCCTGTTTGAACCTTGAGAGATTAACAGGGACTTTGAGCCAGTCAGACCCTGTCAATCTCCTTCACAGGTGTACTGTGGGAATAAAAGGAAGGGACGGCCCAAATTCTACCTATACCACTCTCCACTGCCAGAAAAATAGAAGGAAATAAATGCAATACAATATGCCATGCCCAATAGTTCTGTAACTTGTACACAGGTGAATATTGGATCAGAAATCTTTCAAGTGAAGTTAATGACAATAAGGTTCCCGTTGGTCATTTTGGTGAGATAAGGAACAGATCATTTCCAACATCCTCCTCCCAAATTTCACTGATACTCTTTTCTTGCATGCTAGTTAACTGGAACAATCTTGATTTGTGATTGTTCCCTCTGCTTATATTTGAGGGGAATTGTAAAAGGGGGGAATTATTTCCCCAAAATAAGAGATCTTACTCCTGCCTGCTGTTCCTCTTTTTTCTGGTATATTTTTTAAGGACGTTCCTGTCCCTGCAAAGGCTGTTTCAAGGGCTTATATAGTATAATTTTCATTAGTTTAAATTGCGAGGTGATGGTAGAATTATTCCTTTTTATAGGCATATAAACTCCCAATTTACTAAGGTTTTATATATGGCATGATTATCGTTATTACCTTGGCATTGCTCCATTTCTAGCACAGCATTCATACTTCTAGTTAACCGAATCATGGCTTACTTAACCCAGCATCTGGACTTTTCGTATCCTATTCAAGTAGAAGTCAACCACATTGGATAGATCCATGTATCATTCTTTAATTTAGGAGAGGAAGCTTGAGGCAGCATGTCTACATATTTGTAAGGCACTTGGGGGAAAGATGAGAAAATTTGAGGCTCGGTGTATTGTGTGATCGCAACCATTATGGGCCACACAAATGGTCTATCTCTCTGAATAGATAGGTATTTGATTCCTTATTGAGCATTGTCCAATTTTAGGTATGTTTATTTAGAAATTCTTATTTGGATACGCCCATCATATTAAGCCACGTTGTGGTTTGCTTGATTTGGGTTTAATTTGTTGTGTGAACTTATCGACTGTGATTTGTTCAATAGACTATAGTTTATTCAATGTGTGAAGCCTGACATTAAATGGAATAAACCAATATTTGTGCAAGTGTAGTATAGAGGAAGGTACATTTTATGGCATACACACGCTCTCTCTCTCTCTCTCTCACACACACACACACAGTTTGATACACCTCATGTTACACATCAGTTTTTTTATTAAGAGTATAACTCTTTCTTAAATAAACAGATGCTTTAAAATGTCAGTGTTTGCCGATACCTTCAACTATTTCAGTCCTATTTCAGTCCGCTTAACATTTTTACCATTTTCTAAAAAAATATTGCTGACAGACCTTTAAAAGAAAGTGCACCGAGGGTTTGTACTTTAATTGAAAAGTAATATGAATTTGGTACACGTTGAGGTGTAGTTAAAAGAAAAAAGAAAACAGCCTTTGTCAAGCTTTTTCCTTCGTCCAGATGTTCACCCTTTGTTAGCCATGGTCTTGAACAGGTTCTATTTTCTTATTGAAGCTGTGTTAGTCTATTGCAGTACAAAACACCAGGACATCTTGTGGCATTTTAAAAGAGAAGCAGATTTATAGCAGCATAAGCTTTGTAGGATACAGGCTTTAGTGCTCCAAGTGTCTGAATATCATGCAGAAAGGTTTTGGCGTGGGATCCTTGCTTGCTTTTGGTGGGCTTGGGAGTCCATTTTGTGCTCAGCTACTAGAGGACATTTTTGTTCTTTAGGGACTCCTCCTTTTAAAAACCATGGAAATGTCTTCTGGGGATGTTGAAGAGAGGTGTCAGGAGAGGAATCAACAACATGCTTGTTAAAACCAGTATTTAATTTTAAATTGTTGCTGGTTATTCCTTTCCTGCTGTTTTCTGCTTTTCCTTCGACCCTGCTGAACAATGTCTAAACATTGGGCTAGGAAAATCTTACAAATAACTTTGTAGTCAGCAGAGAAATGCCTTATTAAAGGATCGATTCAATATGTCTAAAGAGAGAAAAATTATGTTTAATATTTATTACTTGCCATACCTAGAAGGAGAACTTCTCTGATGTAAAAATTTCAACATTTAACTCCTTAAATTATTAACCTTATTAATTGCTTCTAATGAATGCACGGTGTGTATTCTGAATGCAAACTATTAGGCAGCTGTTTAATGTGAAACCAACCAATTGTGAACTGTCTTTTCCAAATTTTGAATAATTGGGGGAATTCTTGATTACTATAGTTGGATGGTGTGCTTACATGAATGGTCCTTATCTTTAGTTGTAAAAGACTCTTAATCCCCTAGGCATAAACTATCTTTTGAAGCTGTCCTTATGCCTGGAATATTTTGCATGGGTTGACTATTGTTTATTCTCACGTTCATGCTAGCTTATAGACCTGGCAAGATGGCTATTACAAATAAATACACTTCACGTTTATAATAATATTTCCATTATTCACTTGAGTCGTGCCCTCATGGACACGACTGAGATTGTACCCCCCCTTTTTTTTTACAACCAACTTGTCAGATCACTGTATCTATATGCCATACATTAGACACAGTTTATAATTTCTCAGAAAGCGCTAAATTGAATAGAAGATACTCAGGCAAAATTGTACATGGAGCCTGTGGGTTTTACACGTTACAAGAGGCAATTCTGCTAAAGAGCATAGAAAGTAAATCATTCAAATTGTCAAAAACATTTGGAGTACGATCAGAAATCGGGCTAGCTAAATTATTTTGTCATGATTTAAGAGTGTCGCTGGTTTGGTCTTTAAAGAGAATGGAGCTTACTTTTTGGGGGACTATGAGTTCTAAATCTTACCTATGAATGGGTAGAACAATTCAATTAGCTTTTATAGTTAAATAGACAATTGCATTTTCTTGATGCTGCCTCTTGACATTTCTCACCAGTACAGAGCCTATGCAAATTCTTCAGCACCGAAGGCCAAATGTAACGCATATCATAAGTATATCTAATATGCCTATTCTTTGCAGATCAATAACATCAATAGGTTGGGAAAGAGACATGTCTCATTGAGTATGTCTACCCTCTGAATGACTTCAGAGCTAGTTCCTATACCTCCACGTAGAGGCTGTTGCAATGCACTCTTTTGGGGACTCCTTAAAACGGTTGTAATACCTGTAAATGATGTGTCACCTGGTTTGTTTGACCTCATTCTGTGAGGAATCTCCCTGCCAGTTTATCATGCTGTTTTGAAAGCACGGGTGTGGGAATTTCTCTGTAGCTTTGACCCATTAGGTTGTCCCTAGGTAAGTGACTTAAGCACTAGTAAACAATGCAACATGGAGTATGCCTACTCCAACATGATTTTCAGCAGCCATGTTGTGGACTCATAACCCCTAACAACAGAAAACAATACAGGGAGCCCTCGACTTACAACAATTTGTTTAGTGACCAAAGAGACTTATGACTGTTTTTCACATGACCGTTGCAGCATTCCCATGGTCATGTGATCAAACTTGGAACACTTGGCAACTGGCAGGTATTTATGACGGTTGCAGCGTCCCAAGGTCACTTGATCCTCTTTTGAGACCTGATCAGCAAAGCCAATGGGGAAGCCAGATTCACTTAACAACCGTGTTACTAATTTAACAGCGGTGATTTCTTTTAACCACTGTCTGGCTAAGAAAGGATGTAAAATGGGGCAAAACTCACTTAACAACTGTCTTGCTTAGGAACATAAATTTTGGGCTGAATTGTGGTTGTAAGTCAAGGAATACCTGCATGTTTATTCATTTCATGATGATGGTTCTAGGACAATAATCAGTGTGAACTAATATCTGTAAACTAAAACAGCCCTGAAATCTTGATAGTGTCTTTGTTTGAGCTAGAAATAAATTAACAGGACCCTGATAAAAATCAGCCAGATAATCACACGCAACCATTTCTCGCTTGTGTTCTGTGGAATATATCTTCTAACACGATACTCTGCTCAGAACAAATTGATACGTGTTGTTTGAACCATACAAAAGTCTCAAAAGGCTAGACTAGGAATAAAAACAGAGGCACATATTTAAAGGCATCTGTGGCATCGGCCATTCACCCACTTCGACTGGGATTGGATCGTGCTGTCAAAATTAGAGGTTTTGTACACAAAGTCTTAGTTTTCACCACATTAAAAATCTCCTTATGTAGGACAAACTTTCCTGACCCATGGCCTCGTTTCCTAGAAAGCACGCCCAGGTTTCAAATGTTCTTGTTAAGCTTCCTAGTTTTGTTGATTCGAATTTTCTCTCCGCTGACCTGAATTTCTCCAGTTGTTTGATAAATTGGATGGGGTTGTTCTTCCATTCAGGATTCCATCTGAAGGTGATCTCAAACAGATTGGATAATGGGCTGTGCGGGCTGATTTTTTCCCCCTTCCATGCTTGTGATAGAATAGAATAGAATTGAATTCTTTATTGGCCAAGTGTGATTGGACACACAAGGAAATTTTCTTGGTGCAAACATTCTCAAAGATACATCTCATCTGGGCACCCTTTTTTTTTAACTATTACCATCTGGCAGACGGTACAGGATAATAAAAACAAGGACAAATAGGCTGAAAAACAGTTTCTATCCCAGGGCAGTAACTCTATTGAATTCTACTGTATAGTGCAATATTAATGCAATATCAGGGGTTTTCAATTCAATGTATAGAAGGTGAAGGATGTGTGTTAGTGTTTATTTTCATAGTCATAATGTACACTGAAAATGGTATTTAATTTCATTGTACGAGGTGCAAGGACAATAAAGTAAACTAAACTAAACTAAATTTTAATGGTGATAGAAGAAGAACTCATTTAAATTAGAGCTTTCAGAATACTTGAGGATGTTCAACATACTACGTGGATTTTTTTTTTAAACAATTGCATGTATGTGCCTGTCTGTGGAAGACAGCTACAAGTCTGCTAAAAAAAAAAGCTTGGTTAATTTGCAGCAAACAAGTTACAACACCCCATTCCTGTAGACTTATTCAGCAAGAGTTGCATTGGTGTTGCTGGCAAAAGCTGGCTTGTAAAGCCATTTCCATAAGTGCAGCAGATCTCCTATGTAATTAATTACAGGCCATTGATTTTGTTTAATTACTCTGTCTTAACCTTGCAACCTCCACGACGGCCCAAATCTTTTCTTGTTCCTTCCGGAGTAAGTTGACTTCTTTGAATAACCCATGTCGTTCCTTTCTCCAACCTGTGCTATGCAAAATACGTTTGTGCGATGGCACACCCTATCAAAGACAATGACGGCAGCAGTCCAGCATCATTTCATCTCTGTGTGTGTGTGCCATCTTGGATTATGCCCTCAAAGCAACACAGGTGACATTTCATCCTGGGATATGCATCTCATAAATAGGAGTGGTGCAGTGGCCTAGAGTAGAAGCCTCTCGCCTTACAATCAGGAGGCTGTGAGTTCGATCCTCGGTAGAGGCAGATATTTCTCTCTCTGGTTACAATGAGAATAAATCTGCTGAAGAAAACTTTGCATTGGCCACGGGAAGGGCATCCCGCCATTAAATACCCTGCTAGCTCCACTCAGTTGCCCAGATTCCACCCTGCAAGGGATTATGGGGTCATTAAAATGATGATGATGTCATGTTGATGATGATGATGATGATATACATTTCATAAATAAATGCATTTTTTAGGCTAAAGTTCTTTTTAAGAGTTATATCCTGCTTTCCGGCTGCACCAAAGTCTGTGACAAGTCATCCAAAATGAACAATGACTCCAGCATCCCATCTCTGTGCTACAGTGTGGAGGGGTTTGTTGGGCTGACCCTTCCTTTTCCCCTCCTCAAGGTGCAGATAATGGTGGGGCGTCATCTGGCAACTCCTCAGGAATCCCATCCAGCACCCCGGCCGGCAATTCGAAATCAGGTTCCAGGAACCTGAGCGCATCAACCGGAGAAAAAGAGGAAGGCAAGAAAGTGAGGCGTCAGTGGGAATCCTGGAGCACGGAGGATAAGAACACCTTCTTCGAAGGCCTCTATGAGGTGGGTGCTTTAAAACGCCGGGAACTGCTACAGGTCTCAACTCACAACATTTAGCTACAATGGCACTGCAAAAAGCGATTTACGGCTGTTTTTTCACCCTTATGACCGTTACAGCATTTTCATGACCCAATTTTGGGTACTTGGCAACTGGGGTCAACTCATACAAAAATATTTCTATGGTCCTTTTAGAGTTGCCAACAGAAAGGGAGGAGATGGAGCAGTGGGCAGCTCGCATTCCATCAATGTTTTCAAAGATAGTAACTAGGTGACTGAAGTTTCTGCCCTGCAAAATTCTAACTGGAGAGCATGATTGATGACTTTTGGCTATGGATGTGTCCCATTGGAGAATATGAATTACGATACACCCGGGTGTGTGTGGGGGGGAACCAGGGTCAAGGGTGACAGTGAAATGTGTGTCTCAGAGTCAGCTACACCCAGGCAGTGCCGGACATGTTAACTCCCAATAAATCCTTTTGAAGTTTTGGAAGGTCAGCTCGAGACTCATGATTTAAATGGGGGTAACTTTCGGAGCCCTGACAGCCGGTTCATAATTATGACCGTCGCAGCGTCCCGAGGTTGTATCATCCCCTCTTGCAATCTTCTGACAAGTCAGTGGGGAAGCCAGATTCCCTTCGCAACCAGGTTACGAACTTAGCAACCGCAACGATTCCCTTAACAACTGCAGCAAGAAAGGTCGTAAAACAGGTCAAAAACCCCCCACTTAACAGATGCCTCACTTAGCAGCAGAAATGTTGTTCTCAATTGTGGATGTAAGTACTGTACATCCCACACCAAAGACACACAGGAGCAGTCTTTTAAGGTACGCTTTAAAACCCGTCCCAATATTTTCCTGTTGTGAGAAGTAGTCAAACGGTACAGATAAATCCTCGAGTTACGACCATCATCAGGACCAGAATTTTGTCTTGCTATGCAAGGTGGTGGTTTAAATGAATTGTGCCCAACTTTGCAACCTTTTTTTTTTCCAGGGTGGTTAAGCAAATCACGGCAGTTGTTACGGGAATCATGCAAATGTTAAGCAAATCACGGCTTCCTCCTTTGGCTTTGCCGGCTGGGAAGGTCGCAAATGGTGATCACATGACCCTCAGGACGCTGCAACAGTCATAAGTACATGCCTGTTACCAAGCGCCTTGATTTTGATCGTGTGATGGTGAGGATGCTGCAGCAGTTGTAAATTCAAGGACCGGTTATAAGTCCCCCCCCCCCAGTGCCATTGTAACTTTGAATGGCTGCTAAACAAACAGTTGTAAGTCAAGGAGTTACAACTGTATGCTCCATTGATGTATCTAAGCAGTCTAAAATACAGTGGAGCCTCAAGTTGCAACCGTAATCCATTCCCGGACTCCGGTTGCAACCCAATTTGGTCATGTCTGGAAGCATGACCGACTGCGCATGCGTGCAGTCAAAAAAACCGGCACTGAAGGGGAAATCGGTGCAGAAAGGGAATCTTCCCACGCCGATTTTGTTCACCACCCAATTTTTGAATCATGACCCAATTAAAAAATCAGGTGGATTTTTTGTTTGCCACCCGATTTGGTCGCGAACAGGAATGTTTGTGAACCTGAGATTCCACCATACATACGTTATCCCAGCATTTTGAAAGTATTTATTTTCAATGAATTGTAATCTACCAACGGTGTTTCACCTCTGTTTCAGCTGCATTGTCTGGGTTCCTGGGAGTTATAGTATGAAGAAATTCACCAGAATTTTGTCTATTTAATTCTATGGTTAAATAAGATTAAATTAAATAATAAAATAAAATAAATAAATAAACATTAAATAAGGTTAAGAAGGATGGATTTCTACCTGTGTGTTTTGTAGGATTCTGAATGCTAGCATTCATACAGAAAACCTATTTTCTCTAGCCATTCTGAAATAAATGTCGAAATTCTAGAAACCTGAACAGCCTTCTGGCGGCTCTGCAGAAAATCACATGTAAATGTAGATTTCAAACTGTCTAGTGGTATGATGTGAAAACACATCCTTTTCCCCAAAAGCCCACAAACCTTTTGACCCAACTCTGGAAGATGTGTGTCATCCAATTATTCCTGCTGCCCTGCTTCTCATATTGTAATACGTGCGTTGTTTTTTTCCCCCAGCATGGCAAAGACTTCGAAGCGATTCAGAACAATATTGCCCTGAAGTACAAGAAGAAGAGCAAGCCCGCAAGCATGGTGAAGAACAAGGAGCAGGTCCGGCACTTCTATTATCGCACCTGGCACAAGATTTCCAAATACATTGACTTCGATAATGGTGAGCACCGCCCTGAAAAGGTTGGCTTGGCTTCTCTGAATGGTGGTGCAACAAGCTAGTGTGCTTTACGTTTGGATGGACAGCTGGTAGATAGGGAGTAGTAAGGAATGTTTAGGATTTGCCCAGAGCATGTTCTTGTTCAGACCAATCGGGCCTCCGTCCAATGGAGTTTTGCCCCATTTTATGATTTTTCTCCCCACACTTGTTCAGTGAATCACCGCAGCTCTTAAAATTAGTAACATGGTTCTTAAGCAAATCCAGTTACCCCGTTGACTCTGCTTGTCAGAAAGTCGCAAAAGGAGATCGCACGACTCCGGGGCAATGCAGCCGTCATAAGCACGAGTCAGTTGTCAAGCATCCAAATACAAACCATGTGTCCGTAGGGATGCTGCAACGCTCATGTGTGGAAAAAGGGTCATAACCCGCTTTTTTCAATGTCATAACTTTGAACGGTCGCTAAACGAACTATCGTAAGTCAAGGACTCCTTGTATTAGTACAGTGCTTCCATGGTGAAGGATTTGCTGGTGACATCTGTGTTGTCTGGGAGACACCCAGTTCATGCATCCCCCTTGAAGTTGCTCGCCAAAGTGGTACCTGTTTATCTATTCGCAGTCACCTGCTTTCAAACCGCTGGCTCAGTGGGAGCTGGATCATGTGATGGGAGCGTCAGCTTTGGAAGCCATATTGAGATCAGATGCTCCCACGCTGCCACATTTGAGCCTGGGAAAGTGGGAGGGGGGAATTTATTGGAGTATATCTAGTTAGACACAATAACACTCTTTTTCTGATTCAAGGTCAGATTGTTTTGCACATAAGTGAGAGGACGTCTTAACTTGGGACAGATGGTGATTGGGGCATGTGATGTGATGAAGGGTGCAGGGGATGGATTTTGTAGTTTTTTACTTATTGTAAGGAAGCCCGGAACTTTCAGATTCGGGATTCCCCAGTTGTGCCAGTTACTATCCAAATAAAAAGGAACCTTTGAGAAGATGTCTGTCTAGGAGTTACTGGGCGGAATGGAGGGTTACTGGAACGCTGACGGGGAGTTCACCCCGCCCCACAGCAGCAATGGGTCTTGAACGTGAGGCTGTCAATCATCAGCCCAGCATTCTAACCTCGTGAGCCACCACGTTCCATCAGTTATCATATAATGGGTAAACTAAAAAAACCAGTATGAGGATAGAAGAATTACACAGCAGCATAACATTTTTTTATATCTTGAATAATCAAGATATAAAGATAAATGTGGGCTTAGGTGCCCGTGTCAATCTAAAACCAGCTATGAAATGTATCCCTTTATCGAACAATAAATTAATATAAATTGCAGGGAGACCTACCCGGATCAGGTATGGTGGACATAAATGTCAGTATTTGTCTGCTAGATTTTTTTTTTTTAAAAAAATAAGAGGTTGTTGCGTCTTAGTTTAATCCAATCACGTGCAAGTTTGTGGTATATTCTTTTCCCTTGAACACCTGTGTTTTTCTTTCTTTTGCAGTGTTTTCTCAAGGGCTGAAAAAATCCTCCCTTGAGCTTTATGGCTTAATTTGTTATGGGGAGCTCAGAAAGAAGATTGGGGGCTGTGAGTATACTGTTTTTTCGATGCCATGGAATTAGAAAGTACGGGGCTTGCCTCTTTATCTGCCGTGGAAAACCCGCTTCCCAACCATTTTGCCAGATGTTCCTCATTTTTCCCTCTACAGTATTTTGCACATCGCTCTGCAGTGTGCATTTCTTTGGCTTTGTGTGGGAGAGATTTCCAAGCATAATCTGCAGTTTGCTCTTTCACGCAGAGTAGAAGGAAGCAGAAAACATGCCAGCAAGCATCTGTTATTTGTGGGTGTCATTTCACAAACAATGAGAAATCTGCTCATCCTTGCCTAGCAGAAGGATATAAGAACTACGCAGGATGACTTATGCGGAATTGAAAGCAGGGATCATATCTGACTACAGATTAGGAATGAAAACTAAAATGCATTCTGAGTAGCTTTTCTTTAAAAAGAAAACAATCCACTCAGTATCCGACTCGTCTCATCTAAAGTGACCATACAATATTTGTATTTGGTTTCATCTTACACTCTGGTCAAAATTCCCAAATACGACTTGTCCTATTTAATCATTGGAAGTAAGGAATGTTTACTCCTTACTTCCAATGTTTATTCCTTACTTCCTTATTCCTGCTGGAATTGGATATGTCTAATTCAATGAAAAGAAGGACTAGGGGAGACATGATAGCAATGTTCCAATCTCTCAGGGGCTGCCACAAAGGAAAGGGAGTCAAGCTATTCTCTAAAACACCCGAGGGCAGGACAAGAAGCAATGATGTATGGAAACTAACCAAAGAGAGAAGCAACTTAGAACTAAGGAGAAATTTTCTGACAGTGAGAACAATTAATCAGTGGAACAGCTTGCCTGCAGAAGTTGTGGATGCTCCAACACTGGAAGTTTTTAAAAAGATGTTGGATAACCATTTGTCTGAAGTGGTGTTGGGTTTCTTGTCTAGGCAGGGGGTTGGAGTAGAAGACCTCCAAGGTCCCTTCCAACTCTGTTATTCTATAGATTCGGCCAATTAGAAAAGCCTTGATGTAGGACCTTTTACATTTCTCACTGGATAATGATTCTTTTGAGGAACTTCGCCTTGTGTCGAGGGAAGGCTGCCTGTGGTTGTTGCAAGAAATGGTCTGTGTCCACGTTTGATTTTGCAACATATCTTGAACCAATTCTGCTGGACCACGTGGATCTCTTCTATTTCCTTTATTCCAAGAAGTCTAGGCTGTCGTTTGACTTTTCTCACGTTTTCTTTTACTCTCTTTTAACAGTTGTGCGAAGTCCTTCGTATACAATTAAATGGTACATGTTTGATGCCTAAAATGCGTTTTCTAGAGTAACACGAAGAATCTTGCTCTGTTGATGTTTAATTAAAATAATATCATTCCCACCCCAATCCCGGAACGACAGTTTTGTAGTGATAAAGATGGTCCTCGACCTGTTAATTATTTTGTGCAGTCATGTTTCGTTTTTTATATTCTGCCCATGATTTTGATTTTTTTCATATTCTCTAAAGGCATGGATGACAAAAACGCAGCTAAACTCAATGAGCTGATCCAAGCTGGGTGAGTAATTTATTTTGAAACATGATATCTGTCACGAATAATGGCGAACATACACGTCCCAGGATCAACGTTGCAGAATCCAAGCTGGGTCGGTCACCGAAACCTGAGCTTTTGTCTTCAGAGTTTTCAGGAGAGAAGTTACCTGAAGAGGATCATGAGTCCTAAAGACAAAACAAAACCTCTGTCCTGGTGACCGATCCAGATTGGATGATTGCTGTCGTTTACATCTCTCTTTCATGTTACAAATGCTCAGACATAATGTTATCTTGTACTCTGTCAAGTGACTGATGGAACTATTTCAGTATATTTTGCACGTTTGTAAGCTGCCTAAAATATTTTGGAGAGGGGTAACTTTCATTGACCTAAATAATAATTACATTAATGTGATCATCAAGAACGACCGAATGCTTGCTTGAGATTTTCAGTGAGAAAATAGCCCTGCCCTTGATTTGGACCCTATAAAGACAAATATTTGCTACTGGAAGGGAGTAGATTGTGCCAAAGATTTTTGTACTTTCCTGGTGATGTCTAGTGGTTAAGACATCAGGGTAGAAAGGAAAAGAATGTGAGTTCTAGTCCCTCCTTAGCCACAAAAACAGCTGGGTGACTTTGGGCCCATCACCAGGAGACAGTGAGTTCTAGTCCTGCCTTAGCCATGAAAACTGACTGTGACTTTGGGCCCATCACCAGGATACTGGGAGTTTTTGTCCCTCCTTAGCCACGAAAACCAGCTGGGTGACTTTGGGCCCATCACCAGGAGACGGTGAGTTCTAGTCCTGCCTTAGCCATGAAAACTGACTGTGTAACTTTGGGCGCATCACCAGAATAGTGGGAGTTCTACTCCCGTCTTAGCCATGAAAGCCAGATGGGTGACTTCAGGCTTGCCACACACTCTGAACCCAGTTCACCTCACAGAGTTGTTGTTGTGAGGAATATAGGAGGAGGTTGTGTTGGATACCTTCGCCCCCACTTGAGTTATTTGTAAAAATAACAAAGGCGGGCTATAAATAAATCAAGCAAAATAAAACTTCCAAGCCTCTCACCCCCTTTTTCACATTCTTTCTAGAGCTACAACGGTTCGCTACAAAGGCAGGAACCTTCGTATCAAGGCCCCCATGTGCCGGGCTCTGAAGAAGCTCTGCGATCCAGATGGTACGTCATAAATTCTGGGCAGGAAAGCTGCTTGGCGCAGCTGGCAGGGAGGAAGACCTCCGTGTGCCACCAGCCCTGCCATCCGCTGTTTCATGGCAGATGGTGGGAAGCACCAGAGAGAAATTAGATACGCAAACCAGGCACGCGTTTTATTTGCAAGCCTCGGGAAGCTGGTCTGAATCGTCCGATTCTTTTAAACGTTTTCTATTATGGGCTGTCCCCGAATTACGACCACAATTGATCCCGAAAATTTCTGTGGCTAAGGGAGACACGGGTGAAGTGAAATGTACCCTCTTTTACGGCCTTTCTTGCCCCCATGGAGTGAATCATTGCGGTTGTTAAATGAGTAAGGCGTTTGTTAAGAGAACCTGGCTTCCCCATTGACTTTGCTTGTCAGAAGGCCGCAAGAGGGGATCCCATTGCAATCGTCATAAATGTGAGCCGGTTGCCAAGCACCTGAATTCTGATCGCGTGACCTTGGGGACACTTGTAATCCTTACGAGTGTGGAAAACGGTCCTAAGTCACATTTTCAGTGATGTAACTTCGAACTTCGACAACTAAATGTTGTCAGTCGAGAATTACCTGTATTTTGTACCTGTTCAGCTATTCTGGGTCCATGTTCCAGTTGTGTAATTGTAGAGCAGGTTGCTTTCCCTCTCCTCGATCTTCAGATCACACAGCAATCCCACGGGTAATGTACTTTACAGGTAGTCCTCAACGTACGACTGTTTAATGACGGCTCAGGCTTACAACAGCCTTGGAAGAAGGGCCTTCTTTTATGACCTATAGCAGTGGTGGCTAACCTTTTTGGGCTCCTGTGCCAAAAATTGTGCGTGCGCTTGCACGCTCACGCTCACGTGCCAGCAACCAGAAGGCAATGCCCCCTAGCATGCGTGCGCAGTCCCACCCACCCACCCACACACACTGCCCCCTTACCTGCACTGCACCTCACAGCTGATTTTCGGCCGGTGTGAGGCCTTTTTCGGCTTGAGGAAGGCTTCTGCAGGTGGAAAAACAGGAAGTGACGAAACGGGGCTATTTTTCGGCCTCCAAAGCCTGCAGAAGCCTTCCTCAAGCCTTTGGAAGGCCGAAAAAGGCCTCACACCGGCCGAAAATCAGCTGTGAGGCGCACACACGCGCAGTGAGGTAAGTTTGCCCGCAACTCGTGTGACGGCACAAATGACTCTGCGTGCCACCTGTGGCATGTGTGCCATAGGTTCGCCATCACAGACCTATAGGCACTTAGGACTGTCACGCCACTCCTGCCATCCCATGATTGCAATTCAGGTGCTCGGCTTACATTTACACCCGATTGCAGCCTCCTGCGGTTATGTGATCATGATTTGTGACCGTATTTTTGCCCGCTTCTCGGGGGGGGGGGGGGAATACCCCATTGGTAAAGTTGGATTCACTTGACAGCTGTGTGGTTCGTGTAGCAACCACCATAAAAATTATCATTAAATCGGGTGCGACTTCACAAATCAGGTGCGACTTCACAGAAATTCCCAGCCCAATTGTCCTAAGTCAAGGACTACCCAGTATTTGCCTCCAGTGCAGCTTGTCAGGGATGATAGCTTCATCTCCTTCCTGTCTTCCAACAGCCCTCTTTTCAAGTTACCATATATGGGCATGTTTCTCTTATGCTGTTGCTTCCAGCCTCATCATTTCATTCCCTCAGCCCCACTTGGTTTCCTTGCTATGTTACCTGACGTTACCTTCCATTTGTCCTCTACCTGAAGTCTAGAGGGATTATTTGTTTCTCAGCCCAAATAAAACCTGTTTTTGATTATTGATAGACATATATCCTATTAGAGTGTCTTAAACCTTCGGTTACTTACTAGAGGCGAGGTGACACAGTGGTTAGAGTGCAGTACTGCAGGCTATTTCTGCTGACGGCCAGATGCTTGCAATTTGGCAGTTCGAATCTAAAATGAGGCAAAGCTCAGTTAACAATTGTCTGGCTTAGTAACAGAAATCTGGGGCTCCGTTGTGGTCATAAATCAAGGAGTACCTGTAGATTGTTCTCTTGGTGTGCGATTTCCCCAAGCATTTTGCTTAACCGGGCTCACAGGTAGGATTTCGAGCAGGGGTGGGTTTCAAAAACTTTTTACCACCGGTTCGGTGAGCGTGGCTTGCTGGGCGTGCTTTGCACACGTTCACACATTTTGCACAGGCGCAGAGGTGTTCTAATTCGCGTCCTGCAAGCCTGCACAATCTCGGTCGCTTCATCAGCTGCCGCGTGGCACTCTTCTGTGCCGCGCAAAGCAGCTGCGCTTCAAATTTAGCGGATAAAGGGTGAGTATGGGAGCGCGGGCAGGCGGGCCCAACAGCAGAGCGGGGGAAGAGAACCGATTCCATCTCCGCCGCTCATCGCTCCTACCGGCTCTCCAGAACCGGGCAGAACCGGTCGAATGCCACCACTGATTTCGAGCATCCCTTCTGCTGTGTCCTACAGGTATAAGTGATGAGGAAGATCAGAAGCCTGTGCGTCTTCCCCTGAAGGTCCCTGTGGAACTGCAGCCACGGAACAACCACGCATGGGCCCGTGTGCAGAGTCTGGCCCAGAACCCACGTCTCAGGTCCTTCATCAAGGCTGGCTGTGGGAGGTGGATGGGTAGAACCTGGAGCCTTGAAGTTGGACTCACAGCAACAAGCAAAATAAAGCGGCTGTCTCATTTGAGCAGAGAGTTTGGGATGTCGCTGGGCATGTTCTACAAAGAATTTGAGCCATTAAAAACAAGAAGAGGAAGATTGTAGGTCTTTTTTCCTCTCCCCTTCCTGTTAAAATAGGTGTTTCAGGGACCTCCTGTCCCGTGCTGCTGTTCTATGCCACTGTTTTATTTTTACCCTACTTCCAGTGCAGTAAAAATGGGAGTAATAAAATCCTAAGTTGGGTTGTAGGTAGAGAAAGGGAAGGGCGATGTTTGCTTTGCTTGGCTTACTTAGGGATACTTGGTTCCCTCGCTAACAATATCCCTTATTTTCTGATTCTTCTCTTCTTTCTTCCGTGACTTGACAGAATGATCGTGGAGCTGCACCGGAAGGTATCCAGCCTCATTGAATTCCTGAAACAGAAATGGGCTCTCCACGAAGTGCGTATCGTATCCTTTCCCTTAACGCAGAAGTTAGTGGGATGGAATGTAGTCTGGATTCCCGGGAGGGAGGGAGGGAGGGGCTGCCTTCCACGGGAACAAGAGACATCGCAGTTAAGACAGTTCGTGTGGGAGAAATGGGGTGAGGACAGCTCCTGCCTAACAGTTCCCAGAGTATCTGTTTAATAGTGCAAGTAGTCGGTTTTAGTTTGCCAAGATTTTTGTCTGTCGTTGAGGAATAATAAAGGAAGCTACTCAGAAGAACCTCAACATTTTAGAGGAATTTAGAGCCTGTTTCAATTAGTTTCTTCCTTGTTCCAAAAATTGGCATTTTTAACATTACAGGCAATCCTCGACTTTACAACCACAATTGAGCCAAAAAAAATTTCTGTTCCCCAGTGAGACAGTTATTAAGTGAGTTTTGCCCCATTTTACGACCTCCCTTGCCACAGTTGCAAAGTGAATCGCTGCAGCTGTTCAGTTGCAGAGTGAATCTGACATCCACGTTGACTTTGCTCTCAGAAGGTCGCAAAAGGGGGATCACGTGACCCCGGGACACTGCAAACCGTCATAAGTATGAGCCAGTTGCCGAGCGTCTGAATTTTGATCACGTGACCATAGAGATGCTGCAGTGGTCATAAGTGCGAAAAACGGTCATGGTTCACTTTTTTTCAGTGTTGTTGTAAAGTTTGAATGGTCCCTGTATGGACTGTTGTAAGTTGAGGACTACCTGTACATTAAGCCATCTCTCCCATTTTGAACAAGGGTTTTCCTTCCCAGTTTTTTGCATTTGCAGTCATAGAATCGAATAGAGAAGAGAAGAGAATTAGAATAGAATAGGAATAAAATAGAATGGGAATAGAATAGAATAGAATAGAATAGAATAGAATAGAATAGAATAGAATAGAATAGAATAGAATAGAATAGAATAGAATAGAAAAAGAATAGAATAGAATAGAATAGAATAGAATAGAATAGAATAATAGAACAGAACAGAACAGAATAGAGAATAGAAGAGAATATAGAATAGAATGGGAATAGAATAGAATAGAAAAGAAATTAGAAGAGAAGAGAATATAGAATAGAAGAAAATATAGAATAGAATAGAATATAGAGTATAGTAGGATAGAATAGAACAGAACAGAACAGAATAGAGCTGGAAGGGACCTTGGAGGTCTTCTAGTCCAGCCCCCTGCTCAAGCAGGAATACCTATACAATCTCAGACAAGACGTTTCAGTCTCTTAAAAAGCTCCAGTGATGGAGCGTGCCCATGATTTCTGACTTATTAGTAGCCCTCCTCCTCCTCCTCTCTTCAGGGCTTCCAACAAAGTGGCGCTGACTTTGTTTGGGGTTTATGGGGAAATATTTACAGGTATGTCCTGTCCTTTTTTTTTTTGCTTCTCCACACCTGTCTTCCTAAACCTCCTTCCTGTAGAGGAAAACGCTCGCCGAGAGGCAGCTGCAGGATTGCAGAGATGCTGAAACCACCAGCAGCTATTCCGAAGAGAAAACAACGCTTCACCTCTTCCCGGGGGAGAACTGCACGCTGGCGCCCCTGCCCGAGGTTGCCCGCGTGGTGCACTCCAAAGCCTTCTGCACCGTGCATTGGCAGGAATCGGGGCGCTGCAAGCAGAGTACGAAGGACGTCCACCTGTTGCCCCCCGCCCAAATCCTCGGCATACAGAGCGGTCAGGGGACAGCCAGAGGGCAGGTGAAATACTCGCGGGGGGCAGAAAATAAGGGCGGAGCCAAGCCCGAAACCGCCGCGGAAGTGATCAAAGCTCCCCAGTTGATCCCTGACCCCGTCCCGAACCCGGACGATGGCTCCCGCGAAGCTGGGCTCGCCGAAGGAGCCTCCTCGGAGCCCAGTGTCGCCAGCCAGCTCCCCAAACCGCCCACTGAGCTTCAGGACCCGAGTGGAAGCCTGGAGAAGCCCATCCCAGTGGCCGAGAGCAGAGAGGCGGTGCCTGCCGTTGCCTCGCCTGCCGAGGTAGACGCCGGCCGCGCCAAGTGCAGCTGTGTTGATCTTCCGCCGGATTTGGAAGAGCTCTCCCTGCTCGATCCCTTTCCCCGTTACATGAAGTCCTGCCACGACCTGATTGTCCCCGAGAAGTGTCTCTGTGTGGAGAAGCTGGATCGAAAAGAGGGGGTTGCCTTGCCGGAAAGTTCTCCTCCCGGGGGGGTTTTCCCTGGCGGCACGGAGACCAGCAGCCGCAGCCCCACGCAGCCGGCGAGCGGCAGGGCAGACATGCCCAGGGTCGGCCATCCATCCGCTTCTGAAACTCAGGCCTTCCGCTGCTCCGGACTTCAAGCGGAACCCTGCGCGAAGGAGCTCCATGACGTCGTAATGGAGGATTCTCAGGAGAAGATCAACACCTCATTGCCGCCACTGCCGCCACCGCCTCCTCCACCACCACCACCTCAGGGACAGGCGGTCTCAAAGTCCCCCAAGGACGACCCCAGCCGCCTCGCGCAGCAAGTGCGGGAGAAGGGATGGAGTCTGCGGACCTCTGAAAGCCTTACCTTGGCTGAAGTCTACCTCATGATGGGCAAGCCAAACAAATTGCAGCTAGAATACGACTGGCTGGCAGTCTTGGGGCAGGAAACCCAGGATGCCGGGGAGCCGGTCACCGAACCGAAATCTGTTCCTCCCTCAGCCGCTTTTCATAAACAGAAACTCCTCAATTGCCTCTTGAAGCTCATTTCTTCTGAAGTTAACCCCAAACCGGTAAGTGCCCCCTGGTCACCTCTTTTTAAGTCATCCGAATGGATCTCGTGAACGAGTTTGGCTGAAGGCGGCCCGCCTACCTTTCCCAGTTATCCAGATGTGGCCTTTAGATCTTTTGCAACTGGCTTGCCGCTTCCCTTCTCTGCTTGCCTGTCTCCTGTGAAATAAGGACCTTGGGAAGTAGGTTTATTTGGGATAATTTGGCTCTTCTTTTTAAGCTTATTTGCAACAGTGGTTAATATTGCATCTACTGTTCATTGCCGCCTTAAAAAAAAAAGAACAGAAAAGGCAGAAACAGGGACAATTTTCATCATTTTTTTTTTTTTGGTTAGACATAATCTTCATTTAACAGCCACAATTGGGACTGGCAACTCTGTTGTTAAGTGCTGCAGTAGCTAAGCCAAAATTAACCTGACCATGTCAGACTACCTCATTTCCACTTTGGGGATTTCACTTCATATATATCCAGCACAAAATTACGGTTCTAAGAGATTCATTTTTAGGTGGGCATATATATGTAGATAATGTGTGCAATAACCATAACTGATTATGATGTGTAGATTCATACATATATAAATGTATAAATAGAACAATTTTAGGTGGGCGCAACCAAAGTTTTTATGAGGTTTACTGGGTTTCTAGGTTAATCCTTAAAAGCTTTTCAAAATGCTGAAACACTCGACTTAAAGCAAAGCATTTCTGGACCCCTGAGCTAGACCACAAGTGAATAAACCACTATCCTGTCCCACCATGGTAGTTCTGAATGTTCTTTGGAATATCTGCTCTTTAAACTTGGATAATGGTGATGAAGGGGACTCAGTGGCTAAGATGCTGAGCTTGTCAGTCTTTCAGATCGGGAGTTCGAACCCCTAGCACTGCATAACGGGGTGAGCTCCCATTCCTTGTCCCAGCTTCTGCCAACCTAGCAGTTCGAAAGCATGTTAAAAAACGCAAGTAGAAAAATAGGGTCACCTTTGGTGGGAAGGGAACAGCGTTCCGTGCGCCTTCGGCGTTTAGTCGTGCCGGTCACATGACCACGGAGGCGTCTTCGGACAGCGCTGGCTCTTCTTCGGCTTTGTAACGGAGATGAGCACCGCCCCCTAGAGCCGGAAATGAGTAGCACGGATGTGCAGGAGAACCTTTACCTTAATGATGAAGATGGTTTGAAGCATCCTGCAATTGAGACCTCGCTGCTTCCTTTCTAGATCCCTGAAATGAATTCCGTTGCAACCTCCCCCATCAAGCCTATTCAAGAGGAGCATGCTTTGACACCTCCCGGGAAGGTGATTGCCATTAGCACCAGGAGTCCGGGCTGTGCTCGCAATCAACCTGCGCTTCATAAGAAGACCTTTTCCCCCAGTGCCACTCCCAACTCCTCAGGTGAGTCAGTCGTGCAGAAAACCTGTCCACCCTGTGCTGTATCCACATAGACGTGCCCCTCCCCGCCTCTTCCAAATTCTGTGCCTAGGAAATCTCCAGATTTGGGGATCTCTCAAATTCATTGTTCAATTGGGCAAACAGTGGAGTGAGAGAATTGTTCTGTCGTTTGGAATTCGACAACTTGCAGCGAGCTGCAGGTTTGTCAGTTCTCCGAGAGCAGAATGGAAGAAGCCTCCACGGATGAGAAATGAAACATTTTCAAAGAAAAATTGGCAGGAAAGTCCAGTTGCCTTTTGGAAGATCACCTTTGGGGTCTCCCAGAGCTCTGCTTCTCAAGCTTGGCAACTTGAAGATTATGTGGACTTCAACTCCCAGGATTCTTCAGAGATGGCAAGATACCATGAACAAAGATACGCAAGCCACGGGCCTGCGCCCTGGAGATGCAGCTGATTGTGCAAAGTGGCGTTCAGGGTTCCGACAAGCGGAACCTGCGCCTGCGGGAATACGCTAAGAAGGAGAGGAGGAAGGAAGGAAGGAAGAAGTAGTAGTAGCAGCAGTAGTCCTAGAATTCTTCTAGAAGGCTGGAGAATTCTGGGAGTTGAAGTCCACGCTCTAGTAAGGTGGTTGCACTTTCATATCCCTGGTTCCTTGTGAAATTCACACCTTCCTGCACATCCACATAGGTTTATGGAAGTACTTCCAAGACTTTTCCTAATAGAAGTCCGGTGTCAACTCATAAAATATTCCTATGGTCTTTTTAGAGTTGCTAACAGAAAGGGAGAGGGGAGCGGTGTGGCAGCTTGCAAACCGAAACTGCATTCCATAAATGTTTTCAAAGATAGTAACTAGGTGGCTGAAGTTTCTGCCCTGCAAAATTCTAACTGGAGAGCATGATTGAAGACTCCTGGCTATGGATGTGTCCCGTTGGAGAATATGAATTATGATACACCCAGAGGGGTGAGGGAAAACCAGGGTCAAGGTGTGACAATGAACGATGTGCCTCAGAGTCGGCTACACCCAGGCAGTGCCGGCATGTTTACTCCTAATAGATCTTCTTTAAGTTTTGGAAGTTTGGCTAGAGACTCATGATTTAAATGAGGTTAAGTGCCAGAATCCTGACAGCCAGCCGACTCCGAGACACATCCTTCATGGTCACCCTTGACCCTGGTTTTCCCCCACCGCCTGGGTGTATCTTTTCCATTAATCAATGTCTTTTATCGTTTCCTGACAGGTTTCCAAAATCCTTCTAAGCCCCTCTTGGTGGCTAGTTGTTCTTCAAGTTCCAGCAACCCTGATGCCGACGGCGGCCTCTTTGCCATCCCCACCACCCTCCCACCGAACAGCCGGCATGGGAAGCTTTTCTTGCAAAACAAGGAAACAGACCTGAGCTTCCGCCAGTGCTTGGATACTATCAGTGTGAGTCTTGAAATGTGTAAGCGTAACGTTAGGAGAAAAACCAACCCAGCCTTCCTTCGTAGCTGGTAAAAGTTAAGCAGCTCGTCAGCTTTGGAAGCCATACTGAGATCCGATCCTCCCACGCTGCCACGTTTTGAGCCTGGGAAAGTGGGAGGGTGGAAGTTCTTGGGGTATGTGTAGTTAGACGAAATAACATTCTTTTTGTAGTTCAAGGCCGTGCTATTGTGCGCATATGTGAGGGGAAGTCTTTAAGTTGGGACGGATGATGATTGGGGGCATGTGAGGCAATGATGGGTGTAGGGCAGTGATGGCTAACCTTTTCAGCTTGGTGTGTCGAAAATCGGGAAAAAGTGTAGCCTTCCTCGGGTCGTGTGTCACTTCAAGAAATATCAATAATTTGGTTTATGACGGACTGGGCTGGGGTGATCACATAGGGCTGTGAAACTCGTCTCCCTGGTCTCAGGGCTGCAGGTGCAGGATGTGGGGATCGGAAGGCCACCTTACAGGGCGGTGAACCTCATGGATCTCCTTTCCTCCTGTAGCGTTCCTGAGGTAATGAAACGGACAAACCTCAGTTTATGGCGGTTAAAACTGGTTCTCTGCTGCAAAGATCTTGCGGCAGCGGTGACACCACGCCTCCACGCAACAAGCAGGGAGCAGGGATTGGAACAGAGCACAGGCAGCCTCTAAATGTGCAGGTTTTCCCCACATTAACAGGCGTGTCAGTCAAAGTGCCTCGGCGTGTCACGAGTGACACACGTGTCATAGGTTAGCCATCACTGGTGTAGGGGGTTGGATTTGTAAATTTGATTATTGCAAGGAAGCCCGGCATTTTCAGATTCGGGATTCCCCCAGTCGTGCCAGTTTACTATCTAAATTAAAAAGAACTTTTGAGTGATGTGTATCTTGGGAGAGTTATTGGTTGGAGTGGAGGTTTGCTGGAACGCTGGCACAACTATCCGTTCCAGGACTTGGTCACGCTATTAAGATTTCATGGCACTTTAATGTCCTGTATGTGTTACAGCTTACAGCTGCGTTTTTGGGAATGAGACGAAAAATCTCAGGTTACACAAAATTTGGGAAAGAATGAAGTCAGAATTCCAGCCAGTAAGGAATCACATGGCCAACTTCTTCCTCTACTGTTACTTTCCTGTTTTTTTTGTTTTTGTTTTTCTGCATCATCAAAACATACTTTGAAGTCCTTCCTTTCACTGTCCAGGCAGAACCATCCAATCTGAAATCAAGTTTGTTTATTTGTTAAATGCATTTGCCACCCATTTCACTGAAGGGCTACTCCCTGTTTTTTAGCGGGGAAGAGCCTGCCACTCTTTCTGAATTTCTGATTCTGTTTTGTCCTGCAGCAGAATAATACTCTGATCTTTTTGCTACCAAATTAACTGGATGATATAAATTATGTAGAACCATGGAGACGCTAAATCGGTGTGGGACACCTTAGCCCAGGGCTGCTGGAAGTTCCCTTCATGCAGCAAGCCAAAGCCTCAGTGGTCTTGTTAAGAGTATCAGGATGCTATATCATGAACTGCTGTTTCTCTTTAGATGCAATCGGATTTTTTCTTGCCAAAGCCAAGAAAACTACGCAGCAGACACCTGCGGAAGCCGCTGGTTGTTCAGGTAAGAGAGAACTAAGGCTAATTAAGATACGTTCTTCATTTGGTCAACAAATGGATTCAAGTGGCTTATTTGGGGGGCCTTATTGTTACTTGCTTTTCTGCCCGTCCATTTGGACAGAGGCAATTGGTTCCTCCTGCTTAGGTGGTTTTCTGCTTTCAGGCCTGTCAGCATAAGTGAGAAACAGATTGCAGAGTCCAGGGTCTTCCAACTGGGGAGGGCTCGCATCCCCTGGGAGGTGCAAGACAATATTCCAGGGGTGTGTGTGTGTGAAAACTTGAGTTTAGAAGTTTTAAAATTATAGCGTATATGTATAATTATAATGCATATAATTGTTTTATTTTTTTAAAGGGGTGTGTGAGAATATATCAGAAGTGTTCTAGAGGTATAGAAAAGGTTGGGAACCCCTGGCAAAGTCATTTCAGTTAGGCTAAGAAGAAGAAAACAGGGCATCTCTTTGTAATGTAGAATGGATCAGACTTGAATACACATTTAGAATTCTTTTTAAGGTACAGAAATTTGATTTTTATCCTAAGAGGAATTTCTAGTCTTTAACCACATTCGGTTAAAGAGATGGACAGGTTTGGGCCGTATGACCTGTCCTTCCTGGGAGGAGAAGGAACAGGAGAAAGAATAATTTTATACAGGTCTTTGTTCCTGCCTGTTGTCAGCACATAACCCCCCCAAAGAATATTCCTCTCAATATCAAATCAAACTTCTCCAGCCCTTAACTTAGCTGGATGCAATATCAGCAAGAGTCCCAGGCATTCATAGATCTACAAGTAGTCCTTGACTCACAGCCACGATTGAACACGAAATGTCCGTTGCTAAGTAAGGCAGTTCTAAGTGATTTTTGCCCCCATTTTAAGAGAATCATTGCAGCTAGCGTTAAGCACATCTGGCTTTCCCCATAGACTTGGAATGTCAGAAGCCAGCTGGAGAAGTTGCAAACGGTGATCACATGACCCTGGGACAGCACAGCTGTCATAAACGCTTGCCAGGTGTCTGAATTTTGATCGTGTAGCCATGGGGATGCTGCAACAAGCCATGTAAAAACTGGTCAGAAGTCGCTTTTTTCAGTACCCTTGTAACTCCGAACTGTTCGTTTAGTGCAGGGGTGTCCAACCTTGGCAACTTTAAGACTTTAAGACAATGCTGGCTGAGGAATTCTGGGAGTTGAAGTCCACAAGTCTTAAAGTTGCCAGGGTTGGACACCCCTGGTTTAGTGTATTGTAAGTTGAGGACGACACACAATGTCCAGAGGGGGCATTCATCAGGTTCTGACCAGTTCTGGAGAACCAGTAGCGGAAATTTGGAGTAGTTCAGAGAACCGGCAAATCCCACCTCTGACTGGAGATTTTGCAGTATCCTCCTTCCCCTGCCACGCCCACCAAGCCACGCCCACAGAACTGGTAGTAAAAAAATTTGAATCCCAGCACTGATAATGTCACAGAGAACCTATTTGGAGACTGTATGATGATTGGACACGGACCAGGGAGATACAATCTAGACACCACTGGAGAACTTTTATTTTTCTTTAACGTTTATATCTCGCTTTCTTCTTGCAGAGGACTCTGCTTCCTAGACCTTCCGAAAACCCTTCCCAGCATGTCTGTTCCTTTTCCATCTTATCAAACTCCTCCATAACAGGTGAGCTGCTCAGCCATGTGTATAATCTGAGGAATACGTTTTACACGGGCCTGGAGAAGGTGGTGAATTCTTTGAGCAGAGGGGATTAAAGCTGTAGCCTTTTCCATCTATGGGCTCGTCCCAGACCACTAGCTGTGGTCTCAACGGCCCTGTGACGGCAAGCCTTTATTTTTACTTGTTTGTGTGACATCCTTCCTTCCTCTCGGAAAGTAAAAGATGAGCCTGTGTGTAGAATCCTAGGTGTCAACTCATAAAACATTCCTACGCCTGTTTTAATAGTTGCCATAAAAAGGGGGGGGGGAGAGAGAAAGTGCATTCCAACTCTTATCTTTAAACGGTTGTAACTAAAATACCAGAGCTTTTGCCTGCACATATATTTAATTGAATGATGAATGATGACACCCAGCCTGTGAACCTGCTCAATTGGAGAATCTGGTTTAGGAGACCCCCAGCAGGGAGGGGGGGAAACAGGGTCACAGGGGACTGTAAATGACGTAGGCCAGAGTTGGCTTCATACAGGGCAGGGCCAATAGGTCGCCTCTAATGAATCCTTTGAAGTCTTTTGAAGTTTGGCTCAAGAATCGTGATTTAATTAGGGCGATTGCTGGAATCCACTAGGGACATTGATGTGGGAGCATGCCTCAAGGAAATTTGGGCTCCTGGGCTCCTGTTAAATCGCCATGATCACCCCCAAGTGAGAGCCGAGAAAGGATGCAAGCATTTTGCCAATAAATGGTGAAGGATCTCTCGCTTGAGCAGGGAGTTGGACTAGAAAACCTCCAAGGTCCCCTTCCAATCCTGTTACTCTCTGCTTGCCATATCCTTATGTTGCCCATATTTTCTATTGGGGGCCTCTACAGTGTTTTGTCTTTGGTTTTCTTCCTGGGAGAAAGACCCAGAACTGGGTGCCATGTGGGATATAACTCCCAAGTGACTTTTTTTTTCTTCCTTTTTCCAAATTCGGTGCGCTTTTAACCATTCCTCTGCTGTCTTCGATTGTTCCTTCTTTTAGGAAGGGGATCTTTTCGGCCAATCCAGTCTTCGCTGACTAAAGCTGCCGTGTCACGCCCCATTGTTCCCAAAATCCTTCCAGCTCAAGCCACCAATCGCCTGTCTAGTAAGTTTCTTTTTTCCAAGAAAAGCCCCAGGCAACAACAGGGAGGTAGCGGTAGGGTTAGGTTTCTGTGGGAAAATCCCATGGGGGGGAGGGGGCAGGGCGGGCAGGCAAATCCACTTAGGTTAGGGTTGAGTCTCCATCAATTTGGAGAGCAACAAATCTGTAGCTCATTCAGTATACTTAGGAGGATGCTGACTTTTCATGCGTACCTTACCTAAATCTCCCGGTAAAATACATGAGAAAAATCACATTTTTTGGTGGGGGGTGTGTGTGTGTTGTTTATGGACATTGCCAATGGATTCGGAGCGCATTGTTATGGTTAGGAGGATGCTGAGTTTTCGAGCCCACCCTATTTACGTTCCTTGGCAAAATACATGGGAAAACCCATAAGGGGGCAAATCCACTTAGGTTTAGGGTTAGCTCCCCATGAATTCCGAGAGCAAAATGGACATCACCAATGGATTCGGAGCACATTGTTATGGTTAGGAGGGTGCCAACTTTTCGAGTTCGCCCTTGTCTACATTCCCCGGCAAAATACATGGGAAAGTCCCACTGGGGGCAAATCCACTTAGGGTTGGCTAAATGAATCCTGAGAGTAAAATGGCCACCACCAATGGATTCGGAGCGCATGGGTATGCTTAGGGAGGCCCTAACTTTTTGAAGCTACCTTATCTGCGTCTCCTAGTTATTACCAGTTCTGAAATAACCGTTTTTATTTTCCCCCATGATTAGTTTTTGAAGTGCTCATTATGTTCACCCAGGCCTTTCACAATCCTTTTGAAGAAAGATCCTATTGACCTGGTTTAATCATTCAGGAGATATCAGGGTCGGTGGAGATTAAGGTTTCAAATAAGGTTGAGATAATGAAGCAATGGAAAATCTTAGCTTTTTGAGACAGAGGTCATCTTCATTCAGTCGTTGTCTCATTTACTGCTGTGATGAAAAAGTAACCTGGCCACCAGTCCTCGCATTTACATCCTTCGCAGATCTTGTCCGCAAAGAAAAGCCAAAATAAGGCCATAAACACAGTCGTAGTTTCACGTAGTGACCTCTTTATTGAATGATTGAGTTGTGGCTCTCAGTTGTGGGCACTAAACAAGGACTACCTCTCCTGAATCGGTGAACTATGTAAATAATAAGAAGGCACCATTAAAAACAAAGTGTTTTCCTGCTGGTGTAGATGTAGCATTGCCAGAACCTCAAGTTTAGGTTCTGGCAATTTTAAAACTTTAGTTTCGAGAAAATGTCCTTTCTCACATTTGCTGCTTTCTGTCCAAAGGCGCGATTGATTTGGCGGCTAAATCAGCCGGCATTATCCCCGGCAGTCCGTTGCCACTTCTGGGGACCGAAGGCTTGCCAGGCGTTTCCCCGCTCTCACCAGAGGCAGTAACCACCGTGGTTGGAAGTCAAGACTCCACAGTGGCACATCAGAATGGAAGTTCCATAGCAACAGTGGCGGTCAGTTTTTAGCTCTACTATAATGTTTTTCTTCTTTTAGAACCGACTTTATCCAATTCTAATACAGGGCTATGCATCTATGGCAACTTTACGACCTGTGGACTTCAACTCCCAGAATTCCTAAGCCACCCTTCAGCATTCCTAAGTTGAAGAATTCTGGGAGTTGAAGTCCAGAGGTCATAAAAGTGCCATAGATGCCCATCTCTGTTCTAATAGGATGTTGCTTTGGGTACAACGTGCCCCAATTAGACACCAGGCTCCCCAAACCAAGAAAGACACACAGTGATTCTTCCAAGCAGATTTTATTGTTCTCGACTTAGAGACAGAATCTTGCCAAACTGGAGCAGGCTAATCCCTGCATGAAACATATATTCTTGGAACTAATGAGGAGGAGCTGTCTTCACTCTCTTTCTCTCACACATAGTATCTGGGCTGAGTTGCCTCTTATTCCTCTGGAATGCACCCCCTCCCTCCTGGAAATCCAGCCCTCTACATTCCATCCCATTAGATTCCTCTAGTCAATCAAAACTCCTTAAAAATCTTGAACTTCCTTGCTCTGCGTCCTTACCCTACCTCACAGCCCCAGCTTTCCAGAAACGGCCTCTCCATCCCAATCCTAATTGATACCGCATCTACTATCTTACACATTATTGATTCTATTGTTCTACCTGGTGGGATAAGTTGTTCCTGCCCTCTGTAACAAAGGAGAAGGGCTCCCAGGCCAGCTAGCCACGATAGCTAATGGAGATGCTAGTTTGGTTTTCCCTGAATTTCTATTCCCTTTTTCTTTTACCATTTATTGGTTAGATTTATTTCCTTTCTTTTCTTCGGGAAATCCTTGACAGTAGCAGGGCAGGCATGATAAATAAAGCATTAATGTTCCATAATTTCAGTGTCTCTCTTCCAGCCATGTAGCTCAGGCAGTCTTTCTTGATTCCAGGGTTCAAGACATGAATGTCGGGTTCCTTTCCTTGGTCTACCATCCCAGCCTGAGGAGGAAGCCATTCCTGACGGCTTCCAGGTAAAGTATCTTTAACTAATAATTACTTACACTTCAGAACTTAATACACGCTAACGCTGTAGCTCTGATTAAGGAGGCTGTCTGTACAACCAGTATTTGGGCTGTGATGGAGTGCCCATGTGAAGACAAGCTGCTCGATTGTTTAATTGTCCTCACCGTTAGGAAGTTTTTCCTTAAGTCCAAGTTGTTCCTCTCTTTGGTTAGTTTCCAACCATTATTTCTTGCCCTGCCCCCTGGTACTTTGGAGAATAATTTGACCCCCTCTTCTTTGTGGCAGCCCCTCAAATACTGCTATCATGTTATCTTCTTTGTTTAGGGATGGAAGAGTTTCCAAAACAACTATTTTAAGAAGAGACTGGACAGTCACTTGTCTGAGGTTGCATAGGTTTTTCCTGCTCGAGCAGGAAAACCCTGGAATCAGGGGGCTGGACTAGAAGACCTCCAAGGTCCCTTCCAGCTCTATTCTATTCTAAGATTAGCAAGGCACTCATCTGAATGTTGTGTGAACTTTTAAAGTCTGTTATTAGATACCTGAACATTTTTTTGCTCCACAATCTATGAATCTATGATGCATGCTAGTCCTTGTGAACATTGATACACTCATTGTTACAGAGAAGCAAGAAAAAAATGCTTGCTAGATCAAAATGTGAGGCTCAAAGATTGCAAGAAGGCAATTGTGAACTGCAAACAAAGTGAAGGAAAAAAATACCGTCTTGTTGTGAATTTCCTGGCATCCTGTTGTCTAGGCTAAGTTTTTGCAATGTTTGCAACTTCCCAGAATGTCGACCGGTTTCTAGAATTTCCCATCCGGCAGACTTAAATTGCTGAGAATTCAGATCAATGAAAGTCCATAAATCTGAAAGGCACCCAGGTTTATCTTTTGTCAAAGTGAATATCCAGCATCTAACATGGATGCGTGTTTCATATTTAAGGGCTTCGTTGCCCTGAGTCATCAGCAATGGTTGCTGGAGGCTATTGAAATAAATGCTTCATTGTATATTAAACAAGATACTTGTATAAACATAGCAGTGAGCTTGAACCTTGGGGGAATCTCATTTTAACCTTGCTAGATACTGTTCTCTAGATCCCACCATTAGGGAGAGCTGTGAAGTTGGTTACAGGTCATCTTTAAAAGGAGAAGTCATCAATTTCTCGGGGGCTGACAGGAGGAACAGGAATCGGGGGGATTGTAAGCAAAACTTCCAACCATGTCATCTTCAGGGAGAGGATACCGAATTATAGATGGAAAGACTGATTGTGTCTGATGCAAGGCAGCTTTCTATATTCAAGCATGGACATAGGGTTGCAACAACCTGACAAGGTTCTCGGTCTTCTGCATGGCATAAAAGCTTTAGGAAACGACATGTTGTTGATGTGACCGTTGTTACTATTCCCGTTTGCTTGCTACCACAGGGAACGCCGGTCCTCTCTCTGCCAGAGCTGCCTAAAACATCTCTCCAGAATGGTCTTTCTTCCTCTCCGCTTCCCTCTTCTGAGACATCCGGTACCCGTCTGTCTCCCCCCAATGTCTCTGCTCTCCTTGACATCTCTCTCCCTGGACCCCCCGAGGATGTTTTGTCTCAGGGAGAACCGGCTACTCAAATCAGTGACTCCATCATTGAAATAGCCATTAGCTCTGGCCAATACGGTAAGGGAGAAAGAGAGGAGGCATAGAATGAATGAATGAATGAAACAATGAAAAAGAAAGAAAGAAAAGAGAAAAGAGAGAGAGAGAGAGAAATAGTAATTAGCTCTGGCCAATACACAGAGGAGGCATCAAATGAATGAATGAATGAATGAATGAATAAGAAGGAAAGAAAGAAAAAAAGAGAGAGAAATATCAGTTAGCTCTGGCCAATACAGTAAGGCAGAAAGAGAGGAGGCATTGAATGAATGAATGAAAGAGAGAGAGAGAGAGAAATATCAATTAGCTCTGGCCAATGCAGTAAGGCAGAAAGAGAGGAGGCATGGAATGAATGAATGAATAAGAAAGAAAGAAAGAAAGAGACAGAAAGAAAAGAGAGAGAGAGAAATAGTAATTAGCGCTGGCCAATACAGAAAGGAGGCATAAAATGAATGAATGAATGAATAAGAAAGAAGGAAAGAAAGAAAAAAAGAGAGAAATATCAATTAGCTCTGGCCTATACAGTAAGGCAGAAAGAGAGGAGGCATTGAATGAATGAATGAATGAATGAATGAAGAGATGTCAAAGGTTAGCTGTTCAACACACTGCCGTATAGTTCAGCAGTGGGGTTTTTTTGATGTTGGGAATTGCTCAAACGCACAAGTGTTCTTTGAAGGCAAGAGTGGAGAACTTGTGACTTTCCAAAAAGGACGGTTGCATATTTTACACACTTCAGTAAGAAAAAAACAATTTGCATTTACAGGTGAGAACGTTTCCCTGTCCCCAGCCAAGCTGAACGGTAGCGATAATTCCAAAAGTCTTCCGTCCCCGTCCTGCAGCCCCCAGCAGAGTTGGATCGCTTCGCCCAGCCATGATCCACAGTGGTATCCCAACGACTCCACCGACTCCTCGCTCAGCAGCTTATTTTGTGAGTACAGCCCAAAAACTCTTCCAGGGTGGCTGATATGAACAAGCTCATCTCTTTCTTTGGCCCCATATAGCCTGTCTGTTGCCCAAACCCAGCTGAGAGATGTCCATTGGGCAAGGAGGAGACTCATCCATACGCCTTTAAAAAAACAAAAAAAAAACCTGAACGTAGCTGCAGCCCGTTTAATCAGCAACGTTTATTCCACGTTGATCGCATCTCGTTTTTCTTTCTTTTCCTTAGTCCCACAAAAACTAAAATGATTGGGAATATCAGATTTGTCACTATAAATAGTCCTCAACTTACAACCACAGTCGGGACCAGAGTTTCTGTTGCTCATCAAGGTGGTTGTTAATGTGAATCCTGGCAAATTTTACAACCGTTTTTGCCCCAATTGCTAGGTGTATTGATGCAGAGAATAGAAATGGAATAGGAATAGGAGTAGAATGGAATGGAATGGAATGGAATAGGAGATGGAATAGAAAAGAAAAAAGAAAAGAATAGAGAATAGAATAGAAAAGAATAGAGAATAGAATAGAACAGAGAATAGAGTAGAATAGAAATAGAATAGAATAGTGGAATGGAATAGAATAGAATAGAATAGAATAGAATAGAATAACAGTAGAATAGAGAATAGAATAGAATAAAATAACAGGAGAATAGGATAGAATAATAAGTCACTTTGAATGTATACTAATTGGCATATATTAAAACGAAATTTCGTTACATACAGTTGTTAAGTGACTCGCACAACTGCAATGAATCCGGCTTCCCCCGTTGACTTCACTTGCCAGAAGTCAGCTAGGAAAGTTGTAAATGGCGATCACATAATCCCAGGATGCTGCAACCATTGTAAACCCATGCCAGTTTTCAAGGGCCCAGATTTTGATCCTACGATCGTCAGGATGCTGCAACTGTCATACAGTGTGAGGGCTGCAAGTCATTTTTTCTCATATTGTTATAGCAGTAGCACTTGGACTTATATACCGCTTCACAGTGCTTTTACAGCCCTCTCTAAGCGGTTTACAGAGTCAGTCTCTTGCCCCCAGCAATCTAGGTCCTCCTTTTACCCACCTCGGAAGGAGGGAAGGCTGAGTCAACCTGGAGCCTGGTGGGATTCGAACTGCCAAATTGCAGTCAGCCGGCAGTCAGCAGAAGTAGCCTGCAGTACTGCACTCTCACCACTGCACCATGACGGCTTATAACAGTTGCTAATTGAATGGTTGCAAGTCGAGGACTACCTCTGGTGCTTTGATCCCAGTTGGGAAAACAACATATTAGAATGGGCACAAGTTGAGGGCTGCCTCTTGCCAAAAAGGGGGCTTTTCCTGAGGTCATCACTGGACTTCCTACCTTTGATGCAGAAGACGGAGATCGCTGCCTGACATCTTGATCCCTCTGTTTTACAGCCAGTTTCCTTTCTCCGGAGAAGGGCAGGAAAATGCTGCCCACCTCAGTGGGCAACCCAAGCAGCACCTCCTTGTTGGGACCCAGTCTGCTGGATGGGAATTCACGGGATTCTTTTGTCTCTCGGTCCATGGCTGATGTCGCTGAGGTATGACAATACCTTTTTTTCTGGGAGAGATGGTACAGAGGTTTCAGCTGGAGGGATGAGAGGGAGGGAGGGAAGGAGGAATGAAGGGATGAATCTAGCAGGAGGGAGGAAAGAGTGTGGAGCAAACAAGGAAAGAATCTAGCAGGAAGGAGGGAGGGAGGAGTGTGGAACATTCAAGGGAGGAATCTAGCAGGAGAGGGAGGAGTGGAGCAAGGAATGAAGGAAAGAATCTAGCAGGAAGAAAGGAGGGAGGGAGGAGTGTAGAGGAAGGAAGGAAGGAATCTAGAAGGAAGGAAGGAAGGAGGCATAGACAGACAAACAAAACCCATAGACCTGATATTTTGCATCGCTACTCCACCCCTAGCAATCCTTCACTCCCCACCCTCTCAAATATTGTGCAGCTAATGGCTAGTAAAGTTGCACGAGGACTAGTGGTGCCTTTGAGCATATTCTAAACTCCGCTAAGGTCAGAAGAAAGCTGCAAGACTGAGAAGCCAATCCTCTCTTTTCTTCCCCTTCCCTTGGTTTGTAGGTGGTAGATTCCCAGTTGGCCTGCATGATGAATGAGAACAGCATTGACTACATATCTCGGTTCAACGACCTGGCCCAGGAGCTCTCGATCCCCGAGCCGAGCCGCCGAGAGATTCTCTTTGACGGAGGGAGTGGCGGCCCCCCTATTGGCGACCTCTCTCAATGAACACATCCCACCAGCGGGCTGGTGGGTGCCGGTGAATTGGCCATAACGTGGAGGAATGACGTCATAGCTATGCAGCGGATTGGGGGGTTTAATTTTTTTTTAAAAAAAAAAATTTCATTGTCCTGGCGGGAGCACGCCTGAGAAGAAGAGAGAGGTTTTCTCTTCAACCTTCTACGGTTCTTGGAAACTGCAATAGGCTGGGAACAAGACAGTGTGGAGCAGTATTATAGGAAGTGACATGTGTAAAGTTTTAAAGCAAAGTTTACAAGGCAGCTCCAGGTTTTAAGGCCTGAGCAAGAAGTCCCACAAAACTACATCCTTTAGATGTTGTCGGGGTATCCACAAATAAGCTGAAATTTGGGGGGGGGGGGTAAATGGTGGTGTGTTTTTATTAAATTTTCCTTTTTTAGAACTTCCTCTCCTGGTCTGTCATCGTGGTCTTGTTGGCAAGTCAGTTGAGAGCTGGTATTCCTGGCACTTTTCTTGTCACAGCAGCAGCTGAATTCCACAAGGCTTTTAACAGAATTCTTTCACCCTTTCTTTATATTCATTAACATTCCAACAGGACACAAGGAGGAAAAAAAACACTGTTCCTGTTCCACCTTTAAAAACGCAAAACATAATCACCTAATCGGTAGTAACACCGGTTGAATCCCACCCTGAGTCCACACATCTTAAACAGAAGACTCCTCGGGGGTCTTCTAGATATGTTCTAGATATGTTCAAAGTCAAATTCCTTTGAGATGAGCACAATCATTGGTGACAGCCACGGAAATGTCCTTGTAGTCTCTTTGGCAACAGTACAAGTGGTTTCCCTTGTCTTTTTTTTGTGGGGGGGTGGGGTGAATTTCTGACTTCCCAGTCAAGTCTGCAGCTCGGGGGGTTCCTGGAAGTTATCAGGCGAGAGGCCTCTTAGCAAAATCAGGGCCATAGACTAGACAGGGATGTCAGGACGCTTCCCAAAGAAGATCATGATAATGCCCTTCCATTTTGTTGCCTCCCCAGAAATCGTGTTTATATCTCTTTAAATATCAGGAGTCAAGCTTGACACTTTGCCTTTTTTTAAAGAGCCCCTTTGATTCTTGGTTGCTAGCATTTTGGAGAGCAATTCTCTTACAAACATTTCCAGTTGCAGTTGAGAAATGTTTTGATCACGTCCTGCAAGATGAAAGAAATGGGTAAAATTCCCTACTTCTTGTAGGTCCTTAAGGCAAATAGCAGTTTTACACCGGGGTCTCTCTCTCCCATCTGTGGTCATAAAATGCCCTTCTGGAGGTCTGCAGTTGTTGGCGTCTTAGCCTTCAGAGCTTGAAGAGCAGGCAGCCATCGCTTTATTTTTGCGGCCATCAAAGAACCATCTAATCCCTCTTCTTTACGGATTATTCCACACTATACAGTCCCTTTAGTTGTTCGTCTCCCACAAGCGAGCATTTCTAAACATCATTCCCTTAGGAAACGCTATTTACCTGCAAGCAGCCGCTCTTTGCAAACCTCTCCTGTGGGGTGTCTCATTTTTCTTCAGACGTTTGACAGGCAACGTGACTTCGGACCTGGTCCACAAGGTCTCGGTTGCTTTTGCCCAAACGGATGTCGAAGGGACCAAAAATTGGTGCTGATCAGGAGAGGCGACTCTGTCCATGGGATTTATCCCTAACCCTCTTTTAGCGTCTCTCCCAAGTTTCTTCCCTCTGCCTTTGCCACAGAACTGGATGGCCTCTCCTAACTTCCGTGGTGTTTGTGACTGAGTCCACCCAACCTCCATTAAATTATAAGCTAATAAGCTGAATGGAAAACTGCTCATGTATACCTCTAATCTAATCATCTGAGATCACTGCTCCTTCAAAAGTAGTAGCGCTAACAATTATTTCGCCATAACTGATAGCTTAAATGCATTCTTTTAATTTCAGGCCAAAATATTCTGTGCAGTTGTGACATCAAGGGACATAATAGCAGTCCACAGAGTTCTTCTGGCAGTCATAGAGATTCCCTCCTTTTACCATCAAGAGGGAATAGTGGATGTGCATGAAATCCAGATGTCTCCAGGCAGCATCTGTGATTTAGGAGGCGTTTTAGCAATTTAGCATAGATCCCACACTGCCAGAATCCTCTTCTTGCACTCAGGTGCAGTTTCTTCCAGACTCTTGTCTGATACAATCTATTTTTATCCTCGGTATCCTTCAGCTCTTTGCAGTTCTGTGTCTTATAGAAAAAAATGTTTTATTCAGCACATTTTGTTCAAATAAAGCAACATAGGCTGAATCTTCCACTGATCATCATGCAGCTTGCGCTGTGACTTAAAGTTTGTATGTTGATTTTTTAGGAATTCTTTCTTCTTAACTATTGGGCAGATTATTTTAAACTCAATTTATGGAGCCCTTTGTTTCATGTCTGTCTGAGTTATTCACCTACCTTGCAGTGGAAGGTATGATGGTGAGTGTCCCTCTGGCCACCAGCTTTTTCCATCCATGAAAACATAGGATGTTGTAACAGCTATTATGGCTAGACATAAGCTCAGCAACTTTTTAATATTGTTTTGTTGCCTGAAACAACGAGAAGTAAGCAAACATTTACAAAAGCAGCTCCTTTCCCAGTACTTGACCGTTTTAAAGCAGTATCTACATATCAGCTTTAGTACTTCTGAAATCCTCTGCAAACAACTCTGAACTTCCTTTCGAAAAATCTTGTCACCTTTCTTGTTTCTTTAGTGGCCGTTTATGTCTTGCATGTTAACATCTAAAGTCAAGAGCAAGCACAGCTCTGCTTTGAGGACTAAAACTTGAAAGGAAAATTCCAGTGATATCAACTCCAGCCATTTTACTCCAGTGCTTATTTATCTAAGTGATTTTTTTTCTTGGGAAGCTGCTGGCCTTACAAAGAGATATCCTGGTTGGATAAGTGCAGGAGACAATTCTGAGCTGTTACCCTAGCCCTTTTCGATCCAGAAGAATATCAAAATTCATGACGAAGAACTTCTGTGCAACCTCTAGGGGATTTGCAGGCATGGCTGCTTCTAAGGGGAGTCATCTTGCCTTTATTTCGGGCTTGAGGGATTGAAAGGAAAAGCTCTTGTGGATCGCCTGGTTTTCGTTTGTGTGTTTGATTTCCAAAAAGCTTTTGGTGTCAAAATGTTCCCTTTTTTTTTTTTTTTTTTTTTTGCAATCAGATGGGACGGGTTGATGCATGTATTTACAAAAGAGAATGTATGCAGTGGATATAAGCTTTTCTCATACACCTACCAGACAGGGCGCTAGGAATTGGAAACGTTTGTTCCCATGTAAAGTTTTAAGAATGTGGGTTAGGCATTGTATCTGCCCAATTTTGAGGGCCTGGATTGGACAGTAGTTGCATTGCATTGAAATTGACCAATCATTCAAGCGTTGACTTTATTTTCACTTTTGATCCAACTGGGATAATGCAGTTTACGGTGAGTTTTTGCTACACAACGTTCGTCCCTATGAACTGCGTCCTAATTATCCCACCTTTTTTTTTCTTTTTTTAAACAAAGGTGTTCTAGACTGGCATTATGTAACCCTCTCTTTGATTGTTAACTTTATGCTTTCTTAGCCAGCTTGATTTCAATTATACCCATAAGGATGGCTTGTCTTTGACTTGACCAGTGGTGCGGGGGTTTTTTAGCATTGCATTTGGGGTTTGGGATTGTTTTTAAATACACATATATAAACCCTCAGAACACATACGCTTACACAGAGAAGACAGCTGAATTTGTAGGGAAGAAACAGCACTTTTTTTTTTTTTTTTGAGCTAACCCAGCCCTTTTTAAAGCTTTCCTTGTGGACCTGTAAATGCTAAATAATGAAAATATTTGCAAGCACTACAGCAATGAGTTATCACTAGTTGCCAAAATGTGACACCTGGCTTTTGAGCTTGTGCATTTGGCAGTGGGCGATGTTGCTGTTTCTTTTAATAATAGTTAAGCCATATCATCTTTTTAAAAAAGTTTTTTGTCTCGTTTTAAAATGTGAATTTGTTTTTCAGATAATATGCATATATATAGCGTCTGTATAAAGCAAGAATGCCTGTCCTTAACTGATTATTTTTTGTACCATATTGTAAATTATATTATTTATTCTTTATCGATTTTTGGAAGAAAAAAAAAGGAAAAAAAGGTGTTTGGGTTATTTAATATAATATACAAAAGTTAACTTCCTCTGTTTTCAATTTCCAATTCAAGTTGTAAAGTTGTTTTTATGATTGTCCATAAACACTTACTAATCCTTGGTCTAATTTGTGTGTCTGAGTTAGATATTTGATCATCATTTTTTCTTCTCCAAGTTTCCTATACAGTAGTTAGAATTCAGAGGCATTAGAAGCTATTGGGAATTTCTTTGAGGCTCTGTGAAAAATCAATGTTCCATTACATTGGATGAAATTAGGTATAGAAATGCCCTAGAACATTTTAACATTTGAGGCATTAATATGCAGCCCTTTTGTTTCTTGTTTTGATGAGTGCCTGCATTCTATGGGAATTATTTTAATGACCCCCCCCCCAAAAGCGATGAATTCGTTTTGCTGCTACCCATAACTAAAAATAGCCCTGAATTGCTGCCACTGACTTTTGAACAACACTACTCAGCTTTGAATGTTGCAGATCATCCTTCTCAAATCTGGCCTCCCAGCAGATTTGTAGATTTTTAACTCCCAGAATTCCCTATCCCAGGAAGTGTCTGACTTTGGCAACTTTAAGATGTTTGGGCTTCAATTCCCAGAAATTTCTTGGAATTGAAGTCCACAAGTCTTAAAAGTTTCCAAGGTTGGGTAACCCTGCCCTCGCCAATGTAGCCATTGTCAAGAATTCTAGTAATAAATGTGTTCACACATCTAGAAATGACCAGTTTGCTGGAACATACAGCCCTCTAAGGTGTCGCCCAACAACTACCAACTCTACTAAGCAAGCAACATAATTGGGTGATGCTTTAAATTGTAGATCAATGTCTCACATGCTCGTCCTTGAAATGAAACAATGGGTTTGTTTTCCAGATATGAGAAGGATGCCCATGCTAGATACAGAACACAAAACACCCAGTCATAAAAAGTCAAGAAAGTGATAACATTGTGGCTTTTTTAAAAAAAACATCCCTCCACCCATCTGGCTGTTAGAATGATTCTAAAATACAAATTACTAATCTGGTGAGTTTTATTATGAGTGAACTTGAAGCTGATATTTGGGTCTGATCAACACACCATCCATTGTGTTCACACAACCAACCAAGTACAACATAACTAACCTACAGGTGGCCCTCAACTTATGACCACATTGAGCCTGAAATTTATATCGTTAGACAAAATTTGTTAAGTGAGTTTTGCCCCATATTACAACTATACTTGCCACATTTGTTAAGTGAATCTGCAGCTGTTTAATAACACGGTTGTTAAGTCAACCTGGTTTCCTTGACTGCTTGTCAGAAGGTCACAGGCGATCACATGACCCCAGGACACTGCAACTGTCAAATGTAAGTTGTCAAGCATCCAAGTGTAAATCACATGACCATGGGGATGCTACAGTGGTCATAAGTGTAAAAAATGGTCATAAGTCACTTTTTCATCATGGAACTGAACAGTCACTCAATGAACTGTTGTAAACCGAGGTCTACCTGTATACTTTTATTGAATTATGCCAAATAATTCAATAAAATAATTTTATAAAAATAAAAGATTATTTTAAAATATTTTATAAAAAACAATCACACCTGACAACACAGAAACACCCTGCATGAATTGTGCACGCCACGTTTCATTGGGAACAATCCAAGCCTGGCACAGATCAAATAAATCTCTGGACTTGTCAGCTATTAAATCAGTTTACCTCAGCCAAGGAAGATCAATCGTTTTCCCAATACTAGTTAAGCCAAATTGACTACCCTTTTTAGATCCCTCCTTCTAACGGATGGCCGCGTTCACACGACCCTAAACTTAAAACAAGGTTAAAGAGACCCGATGACTGCGTTTATTCATATTGGCCTTTATCAAGAGTTCACCTCGGGTTAGGTTTTGGCGCAGTCGAAATTTATGTTTAGGTGAACTCGGATTCTTCCCGAGTTCGACCTTAGGTAGAGGCTAATATTTGGAATAGACTCTCCTGCTTGAGCAGAGGTTGGACTATATGACCTTCAAGGTCCCTTCCAACTCTTGTTATTCTATGGAACCAGATTAAAAGAGCGTTTAGGAAACACGTGGGGGCGTCCCTTTAAATTTAAAAAAAACCAAAAAAAAACTTCCGAGTCATTTCCTTCTGTTCTTCCCCCGTCATCCAATGAGAGCGCCCACCCACCCACCGCCCCCTTTCCCAGAGCAGACGCCCCGCCCCTTTCGGCTCCCGCCACCTCAATCCCTCAAACCCGCGTCCCCGTCTCGCGCTCTTAGGGGGGGAAGGGAGGGCCTTCCCTCCGCGATTGGCCGAGGCCCGGTGGAACGGCGCCGCCCTCGGCCAATGGCCTTCGAAGGGCGGGGTCGAGCGTCCGGCGGGCGAGAGACGCGCGGGAGAGAGAGAGAGAGAGAGAGAAGCTGAGGTGATTCGCGCGGCTGGGCGGGCAACGGAGGAAGCTTTGTCGGCCGTCGCTCGCTCGCTCGCTCGCTCTGCCGGCCACCATGTTCCAAGGGCCCGAGTCCGACACAACCAGACCCAGCTCCAGGTCAGGCGGCTGGGATGGGTTTTTTTTTTTCCCCCTCAGCTCACGCTTGTGGGGAGGGGACTACAAAGCCCAGCATCCCCAGCCTTGAGACTACTACCCCGACCCATAACCGCCAAACCCCGACGCCTCTTGTCGGGAACACATGGAAGGGAGGGAACGTGAAAACCGGGCGGGGAGGAGGATTTATCTCTCCTTTCCCCCCCTCCCCCACCGCCCCCCGCGTGTCCTTGCAAGCTGCCCACGCACCGGATTCCACGAGGCGCGGCTTTTTCTCGTGGAAACTCCCTGGTTTGGGTCCGGGAGTGTGAATCCCCGCCTCGGGCGGCGTCCACCACCCACCCCCCCCACTCACTCTTGAGGCCGGCAGCGGAGAGGCGACTCGGCTCGGGAGGGGGGAGGAGAGGGTCGACCAGCCGGCTGGAGCCCCTGGTCTAGGGTGGGTGGGGGGGATGAGGGGGCGGTTCTGTCCTTTGCGGTGGTCCTGGAGGGAAATCGAGGCAGGGGTCGTCTCCCTTCTGCTGCCGCCGCCTCTACCCCCCCCCCCCCCCCAAAAAAAAAAAAAAGGAACCCTACAAGACGAAGGGTGGGGTGGCCGGCAAGTTATTGTGTCTGCCTTGTTCGGAGCAAAATATAAAAATAATTTTATATTGATAAATATAAAATATTTATCTAATCTTATCTATATATCTATATATCTACCTCCCTATCCCCCTCTCTATCTTTTTATCTATCTCTATATCTCTACCTACCTACCTACCTCTCTCTCTACCTCTCTCTCTCTATCTCTCTATATCTACCCCCCTACCCCCCTCTCTATCTATCTGTCTATCTATTTGTCTATCTGTCTATATCTATATATCTCTACCTATATCTCTATCTATCTAATATACCTCCCTACCCCCCCCC